AAGTATATACATTATGCTTTACACTATGCGTAGACAATTACAATATCATCTATCATTATATAAATATAATTGTAAATGTTTTAAAAGTAATATTGCAGGTTAAGGGAAAAAAAAAATATTAATTTCAATAAATTAGTAACAAAATAACTGAGAGACAGAACATAAATGTTAGGTTATTATTAGAAAAATTCCAATCCACACAGCCTTATGTCTTCAAAATGCAGGCAAAGATAAAAACCGTCAACATTTTGCCGATTCAGGCATCATCAGGACAGAAAAGAACAGATATTTCAACATCACTCCATGAAATCTAATCGCATATATAGAGTATGAATCGGCAAAATATTGACAGGTATTTTTCTTTGTCTGCATTTTGAACACATAAGGCTGTGTGGTTTGGAATTTTCCAATAATTACCTAATATTAATTTCAACTTAGTGCTGCCTAAGTTCACCATAATCGTGGTCGGGCTATTATCATTACTTTAAACATATCATGAAACTTTACATCCAGTATTAGTTCAGCTATAAGAAAATAATTTATTTACACATCAGTCAAATTGTTAATTCACATTTTATAAAAACCATGTAACAATGAATAGTCAATATTGGAACTATTTAAAATATTAATATTTATCATATAAATATTTTGTGGAAGGTTTTTGATAATAATTAATAATTGCCTAAATAAAAATTAGTATTACATAAATTAGTTCATATTTATATATAAATATACATAAAATTCTCAAGTAACAACTGTATGATGTGTTCACATTTTAATTGAAAATGCTAAAAAATCTAATGATTTACTAGTTAATGTCTCTATTGTCTTACATATAACAATCAATATTGTTAATTGAGTAATAGTAATATTTTAACTGGTAACCCTTATAGCAGGCAATACATAATAAAGAATTAGTTCATTATTTGTTTCACATAATTTAGGAAAAATTAATATGATACTTAAAAGTTTCTTACATTCTTTATATAATATGGTAGAGTAATTTTTTTACTGTTTTAAAACATAATTACCCAATACTTCCTTTTTTAAAATTATAATGTGAGTGTTTTTAAAAATACATTATCAGATTTTTTTGTTATTTTATAAGACAACTTTGTGCCATAAAATATGACCTTCAGAATTAATTAATATGAGAATTTTCTTTGAAAAAAAATCTTCTTTATTGTTAAAATATTTGGTTAATTCAGGAAAACAAAAATCATGATGAATACAATTAATATATCTATATGTATAAACACAAAACAATTATACATAACACAAATGTACACACGCAGGCAAACATATATGCATGTGTTTTGTACAAGTACACGTAAATCAAATTTATTGTTTTAGTTTAAAATCAGTATATATTTCTAATTATCAATGTTACTATTCTGGTCTTAATTCTAAGGAATAAATGTTTTAATAAACATTAATTTGCAATATCTATTTTATTTTATTAAAACACTTTCTTTGTAAATATTGTTTTAATCATATTTCTTATATTTATTTTTAATCTGTTATGATTTGGTACATAAGTAATTGCTTAGTGTAGTTTATACTACACACAAGCCGACTAGATTGCATTATTTGCTTACACATTTTACATAATAAAGTATTTAACTATTACAATTTAGTCCGATACAAAGACAAATTTAGTGGTCAAGAAATACTATATCTATCTTCATCTTCGATAAATTAACATAAAAAAAGTATAAGGCTTTTCAAATTTGTCAGCAGCCATATCAGAGAATCATGTACTTCATAATTTTCTAAATGGTGATAGATTCTATATTCTTGACTATTTCACACTGTTAATGACACTAGTCACATAAAATTATTTTCAGTTTAGATGTACATGATAGAAAATTCTAAATTAATAAATTGGTAATGATGGCTCAGATAAAATATAATGTTGATTAATCTTTTTTTTTTAAAAAAAGTACAATAATAGTTTTTGGCAGATAAATATTTTAAAAAAATTATTACAAGAAAAATTCACAATACTCTAGAAACATAAAATTTATAAAACTTTACAAATCTTATTTACATATTTACAAAATATTTTTATATTATACATTATAAAAAATAAAAATTAAGATGTAAATTTGAAAGGTTATTAAATACATCTCTTTTTCTCTTTTTTTTAAACATTGACTAAAAATACTGTCTTAATCTAAATTAATACCAGTGTGGAACAAGACAATATAAATAAACTAAATAACTTCATTTCTTATGATTAGTATAAACAGCATCTATTATAACTATTTTAGCTTAACTAGGCAAATGATTTAATTGAATAATAATTTAAATGAATTAACTGTCTCTTTTAAAGTTGTTTCATGAAAATAGTATCTAACATACTGTTTAATTTTACTGTATTACTTTCCTAAACAAATTATATTAATTTATTACTCGGCAACAGCATATTAATTTAGAACCTAAAACAATAGGTTAAATAAAGAAACTTGAAAGTAAACCAAATTTTGAACAGTCTTATTTCCCATGTCTCATGTCTAATATTTATGATAAGAATGCAACTATTTCATAAATTTAATATTTTGTAAGAATTTAATAGCTTATTTGATTTTATAATCATTGACAAATATTAGAGAAAAAAACACCCTGTTTTACAATTTTCACTTGGTTATCTATTATGGTACTTTAATGCATTCATTCAATCAACAATACGTATTTTTAGTTTCTTAATTAAATGAAGTGTTTAAAATTTTCATTTTAATAATCATCAAAATACGAAATCATTGCATAAGTAAATAGAACATTATTTAATTACATTATTGTGTTGGTATTAATATGATGGTAACATAATATTGAAAAATTATACCAGGAAATGCTATTAGATGACAGACGTAATAAACATTTTTAGAATGCTTTTTTTTTTTTATCGCCTAATCACTCCAAAATTATTTCTTAACTTAATGAAAAGTAACTGAAGTAAATGACCTATGAGTATACAATTATTGTGAGACGATTAATTATATAATGATGGAGTTCACCCTTTTTCACATTAATTGTGCATTAATAATGCAATGTGAAATTATTTCAAAGTAATAAAAAATAAATATTTGTAGAATAAATTAAAAATTTATCAACTTTATTCCATACTATTTAAATATTCAAAGTTTATCATTAATACAAATCATAATGCTTAGTTAAGAGTGAATGTATAGTAACAAGAAATTTACAGTCTGACTAACACTTATCTCTACTGAAACCATTGTTATTGGGTTTCTAGTTTATTTATGGCATTAACAAAATAAACTTGTAAAATATTTTGCCTTGACAGTTACATGTTGAAATCCTCTCTCAAATTAAATTATATACCTTTTGTGCAACTTCAATCAGCTTTAGTTTATTGAATGTGATATTAACACACTTGAATATATCTCGCCCTCAGCTAGTAAATTCAGTGATCTTTGTGCAATAGTATCATTGTCTTAATTTTAAGGTTTCCTCACAATTACTGCCTTCTATTGATGCAAATTACTTCATTTTTTCATTGTTTTTTTTTTTTATATTTAAGATTTATTTTTCTTTGCACTACTTTTTAAGTATAAAATAGAAAAATGTTTTCTTGGAAAATATTTTCTAAGTCTGAAGCATACCTGAAAAGAGAGAAAGTAAGTAAATATAAATGATTCCCTTTATTTACGTGATTCCCATTCTTATCTAATTATCAGTTTTGCTTTTGAGTATTAATTTGATTTCTGTTTTGTCTCATTTTATTTTTTTTATCATCGATTCACTAAGTAGTGAATTGCAGTCAATTGTCCATTATTAATAAAGTAGAACCTACATAAGAATGGAATAGTACAGTTTAATAATAATTTCTTAAACTCAACCCCTTTAAATATAAATATATATTTGTTTGATAAATTCTTAAAATTAAATAAAACATTTTCATTCCTATTATTTTTATGGATATATTAAAATTAGTTATTTTGTAGGTTTGTCAATGGTCATCCAGTGAAAATATTATATATAAGTTAATGGAATTTAAGAGGCAATTTATATCAACTAGGGACTTCGCCTTGAGATAAAGTACTTTTTTGCTACTTTATTCATCTTAAATGTATGATTCGTTTAGCTGTTATTTTAAATTAAATCTAAATTTGCAATTTAGTAATTAAAAATACAGAAAAGGTCTAATGACTGCACATAAATACTATACTATTCATTGATTTTCATTTAGTTATGATCATCAATTCTAAAAAATTGAATTAAGTAAAACATAAAGAATATAATTTTTACATTAAAATATTTTAGTTATTAATTTGTTTAATATTGAAGTTTTCATTTAAAGTATTATTCTCAAAAATCTTGAACAAATAAAAAATCCTATTAAACTAATAAAATTTTGAGCAAGGAAATATAATGTAAATTGGAATGTTATATAGCAGTAATGATATGAACAAAGATATTTTACGATTACATATAATAGAAGCTGATTATTCTAAATATGACTAAAACTTTATGTGTAACTTACAGAATGAATATATTTACATTTTTTTTTTCTTAAAACTAAATTTAAACTTTAGCTCTTAACAAAATTAATTAATTTATGAATATATGATCAGAATTATGGGATAAATTAGACAAAATGAAGCTGTATGAGAAAAAATAATTAGTACTTAGTTTTTTCCCTTCATCAATTGTTTCTCAAATATATTTCAATTCACATTTTGTTAATTCATTATCTCATCTTTTAGTATGTGATATCATAACCATAAAGTTCTTTAAAATAGGTATTAAAGATGTTGATAAATTAAGTTTATAAACAAAATTGAAAAAAATGTTTATCTAAATTTCAAGCCACTAATAATGGCACAATTAAAAAATTGTGTGGTATTATTATTTACAATGACACTACTAATAATTTACACATAAATAACAAAAAGAAATAACGTATCAGTATATTTGGTATAGATTATCATTAATAACAATACTTATTTTAAAGCCAGTAATACTTGCCAATATTTCTACTTACGAGGATTATTATAATCTACATATACTCTAACAACTTCACCTGAATATTTTCTTTGAGATGGCATAAAGTAGAAGTCAGGTTGTAATTGGTCACCATTATTCCTAGCAGCTCGATGAGTATAGTAACCTTGAGGAGGTGGAGGTTGCGGTTGAGTTCTGGGTAGCGAATATGTACTACGCTCTATTGAATGATGATAACCTTTAGGTCTCTGCAATGACCTGGTATCAGCATATTGACTACCATTAGCATGGTATGCTACCATGGGGTGGGCACTTATTGGTTTATGCAATGGCATAGTTGATCTGGATGAACCATTACTTTGGCCTAAAGAATGGGGCTGTTTTTCATCTGATTCAAAAGGCTCAAAAGCATAATTAGTATTAGCTGTTGAATAGTCTTTCCATGCTGAATTGAATGTTAATGCATCCTGAAAATAGTTAAAACAAATCATTAATTATCTGAACATGAATCAAACAGAAATAATTATTTGTTATTCAGACAATGAAACCCGATAGATAAAAATAATTTAGTGATTTCATGATTTATTGATAGAGGAAAAATATTAGTTATTTTAAACTTCAATAAAAATTTTTTTCAAAATTTTAAAATAAAATTATTTTGTAGAAAACAATGAATAAATGAAATAAAGATTAAACCCTTACAAGTAGAGCTCTACAAAACCATGTGCATACAGCAATGCCACTGCACTTTGCAGTGTCACAGGATGGAGCTGTTTTTAATATAAATTTTCAATTCATAGAAACCTGTCTAACATTGTTTATTTTTTATAGTTTTTAATTTCTGAAATCTAAAAATGATTGTTTAATTCTCAAACTTATAATAGTGAAATATTATTTAAGTAGTTTCAAAATAATTTTATCTTTTTTGGCTTATATGTATGAAACTGAAAATTCTCATATTAATCTTAAAATTCTTAAATTGTATATTGACTACCTTATGTTTTGATCCAGTTGAATGCATTGTTTTATATATTGTGCATCCTGCCTGCATCACTGCAACTACTAACAGAGCTATTATACATCCAATCACAACCCATAACTTTGTAACAGATAATAGGGTTGTCTTTTGCATATCTTCATTATTTACAGTCCACGAAGCTATAATAAACATCATAATAATATAGTCATTGGATTGAATTAAAAGTGTATGAAAGTTATAATTAGGCATTTAAATCAAAAGAGAAATATGTAAGAAAGAAATGTTGATTTTTTTGTTTTCTATCAATTAATGTATGAAAACATTTGCTGGCCACTGTATATAATTGAAAAAGCATCTAAATCAGATAAAGTATAATGTACGCTAGTTAATAAACACAAAAAATACATTTGGTAACATCTTTATTTTGACAACTAAAGAAAATTAAAGAATCTAATATCTGACTTTTAATTTCTTTGAAAGCTTCAAGTAGTGAAGAAGTGCAACAAAATTTAAAATCTATGCTAACAGATTTGGGTATTATTTATGGAAATTAATTTTCAAATTATGAGGAAAAGGTGTATGAACTGAAGGAGAAACCTAAATTGGTGTTTACACTAAAGTGAATAAACACAGGTTATTATATTTTACAGGTGAACTTCTAATAATAGAAGTTGGCCATAGCACATTTAATGACATTCACAAACATTTTAACAGAGGCATTTACTAGAAGTAATGATTATTTTTCAATTTGTTTAGAAAAGGATCATAATTCCAGGTAACCGATTAAGCACATGATTGAAAACAGTTAAGAAAGCATTAAGAATTACAATATTACAACATTGAGGACTTAATAAAACTGATTAGGTATAGAGACTTATTTCAAGGTTTATATGTTTTCTCTAGCTTGAAAACTAGGTGAGAGAATAGGTAAAAGCATACTCATAGGTTTAATATGAGTAGTTTAAGAATGTACTTTTTACAAAACTAAAATCAAGATTTTGAATGAATTTTCTTTTAACTAGTAACTATAAACTTGATTGCTATATAACTCATTATATATTATATGGCTATTTTTTACATAAAAAATGTATAAATTTTACAGTAATATAGGTTTTACTTGTTTGTGAGCTAGAAAGGAGTAATTAATTTCCGCTCACTTCTGAATAATCATGAGATATAACCATGAAAGTAGATATAATAATTTAACAGCTTAAATAAAATATTTGAACATAAATTCTGATTTATCATTTATAAGTTACAATTTTTTGATAATCTTAGTAATGACAAAAAAATTCTCTAAAGAAAAAATTAAGATTCAATACAACAAAATAATAATTGAGTAATATATTTAAAAAAATAAGAAATCAAATGCTGTTTTTCAAGATAAAATCATTCTTACTTTGAACAGGTTGAAAAAGAAAATAAGAAGGATCTAAGGTAAGCGATCCAACTTTTCCAGAAGAAACTATATTTTGTACTACTTCTTTTATTTTTGAATCAGATTCCTCTAATGAGCGCCCTCGTTCATTTTGTTCTTGATCTACTTCTAAATCCATTTCAGCAATTATATTGTCTTTTTCTCTGAAAAATAATAAAATAATTATGGACTAATAAATGTTATTTTCAAGTAAAATTTTCTTATAAATTGATTTAAAAAAATAATTCAAACAATTGATTTATTTCCACTTTTTTTTGTTACTACAGTTTTTTTTTTTGGCAACATATCAATTAAGTTAAACACAAATCATTTTGGCTAAAAATAATTTTAGTCCATCCACCTTTCAGATGGAAAATTCTCATAGTCCTCTATATTGCTGACAGGCACCAGCACTATAGGGGGAGGCACTCTCTCCTTCACCCCCAAATATTTTGTGAAAGGGGACAACCCCTCCAATATTTTACTGTCATTTAATTAAAAAAAATCACAAAAAGTTCAATTAACCATATAGTTAATAATTATATAATATTACAGGTAATAGTTGAAGAGAATTTGGTTGGTAGTTCCATTCAATGGAAGTACAAAAAGTAAATTAAATTTATTTATATTTTGCTGATTTGCTACCAGAATTCTGTCCTTCGGCGAGTGGTAAGAGGAACCTGTCTCCAGAGGGCAAAGAACTCAGTCATTCACGAAGAGCTTCAGCTCCCGTCAGTGCCCGAGTTCATAGGCCGGAGGCACATCAAGTTCTTTGATGGGCTGAAGGCCTGTGCCAACCCTCTTTTCAAAGATATCTCCCCACCACCCAGGCCCGGGAGGTGGCAGCGCAAGGTCCCCTTGGTGGATGTACTCGCCGAGGGAAGGGGTCTGGACACTGCAGTCCATATCCATATATTAGTTTTTAGTTTTAGTTTGTAGTTTTAAGTTTTAATTGTAACTAGATGAGCAGTCCCTCCCTGTTCAAATAGAAAATATAAGGCTCCATACCGCTAAAGCCAAAAATGCATACCGCAGACCCTATCCCACATTCCTTAAAATACCTACGGGTAAAGAAAGGCTCCTAACTTTGTATATACTCCTTTATATTGTCTATAGTAAATGTTTAATAAAAATTCCTGGGGGTGAGAAAGAAAAAAAAAAAAAAAAAAAAAAAAAAAACTGATATTTCGGCCTAAGTTTCAGGCCTAAGGTAAGAACTGATAAGAAATAAATACTGAGAAAATAATAAATAGGAATGATAATATGTAGGTAAAATTGTATAGTAACATAATATGTAGTTTGTTCAAATTCATTTTCATTGTTTCGTAAAACTTTTAGTATTATGAGCCAGAAAAAAATATGCGAAATGATAATTTCTCACTATGTGCTATCACGGAACAGAGGTACTTTATGTATTAATCTGAACATTGTAAACTAATTTATGAGGAGGATCTAAATCGAAACTATTGAGAAAATAAATAGTGGCTAACATCAATTTTCACATGAAGAAAAAAATATTGACTAAAGCTATTTCCCGAACCCACTTTAAGAGCATCACTGGTGTTAATCCTCCATAAGCCAAAAAGTGCAAAAAGAGATATTTTGTTCTTCTTTGAGACCAGGGACAACACTGCTTCAAGATCTTCTCCCATGCCTTTTTTCTGATCAAGATCTCTCGTTAGTTTATTACAAAGCATAATCATTTTATTGAAGCCTTAAAGTATTATTTTTACACCCTCACTTCTCAGGTGTATTAGTTTTCCAATAAAGGTGAAGCAATTTTAATCAAACTTTGAACATTGAGTGAAGTTAGATAATAAATTGTTTGGCATATTTTAATTTAGTTGTTTCAAAAGCTAAGCATTTATGTCCCCATGAAAGACAGAATCCTCACTCTCTAGAAAATCCTTAAGTCTATGGATTCATCTTAAGTCTAGAATGTGAGATTATATGAGTCATTTCACAAAAAAATGCTAATAATTTATTTTTATAAATGTAAAGTGCTCCAATAATTATAAATTAGTTCATGAATGTTCTACACTGTATTCCTTATGAAATCAGTGATTCAGAAGTTCTTCAATATGAAACAGTTTAATTATGATAAAATCTGATGGGGTGCAGTGATGACTACATAAGATACATAGCAAAATAAATCAAGGATGAATTTTTTTCTTATAAAGGAATTTATCACAATTGTGGTTTTCCTTGACCTAAATGTCATTTAGAATATTTTTCCATATTTATCGATCCAAGGATAAGAAATACTATTGCAAAACATTGAATATGAAACAATTAATTTTTTTTTAGATCCCTAAAACTGAGATTCATTCATTTGCCCAAATGAAAATTAATGCATGGTTGCAAATAATCACCAGTCATGGCAAGGTCATCTAAATGCTTTGTTACTTGACAACACTGGCCAATTCCTGAATCATTTACAGAAAATTGCAAATAACCAATACTATTTAATTAAACAACAAATACATTTTCTCTAAAAATCAATACACATTTTCAAGAAAATAATTTCTTTTTGGTTTGATAAAGGTTACAAGTTTCACGTTTTTAATAGGTTTATTTGGTAATCCTAACTTCCTTTAAAATTAATTTTATTACTTTAGTATTATTAAAACAAAAACAAACTTTTAAGAGTTTTTTTTACACTGTCTGATAAATATCAGAGTCAGACACAACACTGATATAATATGTACAGAAAGTCTGCGTTTCCTTTCACACTGTCTAATAATTATCTACATTGGCTACATATCCTCTCGATAAAACTGATGTTCTAGATCTGATTGATTAGATAGTCCAAAAATGCTCATACAAGAGTGCCTCGTGACATTCATGGGAAGTATGGCAACTTAAGGAAAATAGGCAAAATATTCTATTGTTGACCTACTTTTAATTCAATGATTTTAATTCTATTTCTTTAGAATTTAATTCAATTTTTACTACTTACTGTTTGAATTCTATTATCTTCAGATTTCTAAATCCTGATATCTTATTTTTCAAGCCTGATGATATGGTATTAGATAGGATATCAAAGTCATCTGTGTTTGGACGAGGTGCTTTATAATTTTGTCCTAAATTAACTAATTTTATCTCAATATTATAATTCACATGTGGTGGGGGAGGAGGTGTAGTAGGTTCTTCACCTAAAAAAGCAACAGTAAAATAAACTAAATATTTAATTTTTTTTTTCTAAATTCAATAGTTCAACAAACTATGATAAGAATATCTATATATAATAATTGAAATAATTGAAAAATAGTGCTATGCTAAAATAAAAAAAAGATACAAATTGATTCTATTCTTTTATTAGATGTTTAAAAAAATTAACTAGAAGTATTGAAAAAATATACAAGTAGAATAATTCAATAATTGCTATAATTTATAATAGCCTTTAAAATTAACTTTAGAGTACGTGAATAGGGAACAAGTACACAATTGGAATAGTTAATATGATTTCATATGATTAATTTATATTTATTTTTTATTTCTTCTCCAAAACCTTCATTCTGCGAGACAAAGCATCACTAATAAAATCTACGAATAGAAATAGAAATTCAATAAATTACAAGTGTTTGTTTTTTCTTGAATTTGATCTTTAGGCAAGGTTGTAGAAAATAAATAAAAATTAATGATGAAAGCTAAAAAATATGAACTAATAAATTTATATTTATATAAATACATTAGTAACTTCATCATTCTAATAACAATGATTCATCAAATCAATTTTTAAATATTCTTTATTAAATTAAATCCAATAACTAAGAAGAAAATAAATTAAAAAATGAATTGACCATAAATTATCAACAGAAATATATTAAAAAATGTTTTTGTATTGTTTGGAACACGTATTTCATTCACTTCAATGAGTTACAAGAGATCACGTGTCAAACTCAAGAATTAAATAATGAGCACTAGGGGCATAGATACATTTGATTTTAATGAGTAACTATCAGTTACACTAGATTAGTTTTGACAAAAAAATAATAATTTTTTTTCAAAATATAGATAATGAAATTGGGAATTAATTAATATTTTGTGTTAAAAATATAATACGTACCCTCAGAACAAGATTTAATACAAACTTTAGCAGATGAAAAACTTGGAATAGTTTTATGTTTCCTAATTTTTTTGTTTACAGGATTATAATCACCACCTTTTACTGGAAACATCATATAAAGACAGTTGTCATCCGTAAATGCAAAATCCTAAAAAATAAAATAGAAAAATATTACAAACCATAACATTGAATTTAATTTAAAAATTCTTGTGGTATAGATGACTAAACAATTTAAATCTATTTTTCATATTAGTAATTTTATGTTTCTGTAATAACTTTGTTAAGTATTAGTATCTAAACTCTTGAATTTCTTATTATAGAATTTATGTTTCTTTTTAAATACAGTTCTACTGTATATTAATTGATTTAATTTTTTTTTTTACTTTAAATCCAAAAAAGTGTTCATCAATTTCAGGCCATGAATAAATATCAGTAACTTAATCTTAGGCGGTGGAATATACAAATCTTGAGAGAGTAAGAATTGGCAGATTATATCTCCTAGTTTGTTTTTTAACCTTTTCGCTGCTGCGAGTAACAAGCTTTACGTCTTCCACAGAGCTAAATAATAAGGCTACCCACCTACCCGCGCGTGCTACATACTATTTACCTGCTTTCCACCCTTCATTACTGGCTCTTACTACTATCTTTTAATCTTATTTTATTGTTTCCATTCTCCTTTTTGATTCAGGCTGTGGACCAACAATAGCAGAGTTAAACTTTTTTTTATTCTTTATCCGTTTAAATATTTATTTAATAATTTAATTTTTATGGTATTCTTTGAAACATTTGACAATACAAGGAAAAACCTTACAATGTGACATTCCATCTTTTATGTATTTTACATTTTATGTGACATTCTACCTTTGTTTTGCGCCAAATATTTTTTTTATATAATATTTCTTTTGCATTAGTAATGATTTCAGCAGTTTCCGCAGCAGTAAACCACTGCTTCTCTATTTTAAAGAAAATAACGAAGCAAAAAAAAAAAAAAGAGACTAACTTTTAACTAAAAAATGACTAAAATAATTAATTATATACATTGCACAGGCATTTGACCGGGTATGGCACTCCGGACTGCTCTCCAAGCTTAAAATCCATTTACCTCAGTCCTTGTACCTTGTCCTCCGATCCTACCTCTCTGACCGCTCCTTTCGAGTTCGCTGTGGAACAGAATTTTCCAATATCTACTCCGTTAAAGCCGGTGTTCCCCAAGGCAGCGTCTTGGGTCCCGTGCTTTACATCCTCTTTACTGCTGACATCCCTGTTCATCCCGATACTTTTCTTGCAACATTCGCTGACGACACCGCAATCTTATCCACAACTCTGATCCCGAAATAGCATCCTTAAATCTCCAAAGTCACCTCACCTTGATTGAGCACTGGTGTAATAACTGGCGCATTAAAGTTAATGAATCTAAATGCCAACATATTACCTTTACACTCCGATGCAATTCCTGTCCACCAGTACTCTTTAATTCCATCCAGCTTCCTTATTCAGACACAGTCCGGTATCTTGGCTTTCATTTAGACCGAAGACTAACTTGGAACCCGCATACTAGACTCAAAAGACAAGAACTCAACTGACGATACGGCCAACTATACCGACTACTAAGCAGAAAATCTAAACTTTCCATTGAAAACAAGCTACTGATCTACAAGACAATACTGAAACCTATTTGGACTTACGGACTAGAACTGTGGGGATCAGCAAAATTTTCTAACATCAAGCGCATCCAATCCTTCCAGTCTAAAGTCCTTCGAACAATAGTCGATGCTCCTTTCTATGTATCCAACAAAACCCTACATCATGACCTTAACATCCCATTTGTCCTAGACCTTATCCCAGAAAAATTCTCCAAATTTCACCAGAACCTTACTTACCACCCAAATCCTCTTGCACAATCCCTATCAAGCATCTCCCATCCCTATAATCCTCCAAGAAGGTTGAAACGGCAGTGGCCTCGCGACCTTTTGTAGATTATATAAATTGGAGTTCTGGCAATGGCCAGATTCTTCACTCAAGACATGTGTGTATGTGGCTAAAGTGCTCTCAACCAATCTCCGCTGGCTTTAGTACCAGTGACGCGGTTGGGAGGAGTAGCGCAGGGTTCTCCTGGAGTTCCCTGATGATGTATATAGGTATGCATGTGTTTTTTTTTTTTTTTTTTTTTTTTTTTCCTTAGTTTTAATTTTCTTATTTTTTAGGTTATTTTATTTTATTGTCTATTGTATATACTTTTGATTATTATTTTGTTCTATTTATTTTATTTTTTTGTACATATGGTGTGAATGTCATCCTACCTCACTATAACCAATGTCCAACAGACAGATTGTTATAATACTCAATAAAGAAATTAAAAAAAAAAAAAAAAATTATTTACAGCTACATAACTAACTAAACTAATCTTATTTAATCTAATTTCTAGCTAAAATAACTAGACTGAAATAAATAACATTTTTATGAACTCAGTCGAACAAACGGTTGTTTCACACAGAATGCAAAAAAAAAACATTCTTTTCTTTTTCTTTTTTTTTTTTTTATGAAAAAGCATTTTCATTCTGGTTCGAGACAGCCAGAGAAAAGCCGTAGCAGGTAGTCACCCATAACGGTTCATGAATTCTACAAAAACAGGTCCAAAATAAATCCCTAAGCTATCTGTAGGCTCTAGTTAGAAGATTTATTTTACTAGAAAACCAGTAGAATGAAGCAAGGTCGTGGCAGCTATACTCAACATTAGCAAATGGAAAGAAAAGCAGTGCAGTGGCTATAGCCGACATTAGGAACAGGAGCACGTTCAGTTGTAGCGGCTATAGCCATTATTAGCAGTTAAAGGATTAAAATTCATGAGCTTGAATCAACTGGCATGAAGAATATTTATTTGGACTGATACAAGAATTCAAGCATAGGCATTATACCTGTCATTTTAATGACTAGTTAACAAAAAATGTGAATGGCTGAATCCACTTCAATTGACCCTATAGATAATGCCACATGGAACTAGTCCATTGGTGCACATGATCATTTCCTTACAGTTCCTAATGTAAACCTTACTAATCATAATGACAAATATTCCTGATAGATTGTTAAAAATGTTTGCATCAGCAGTAAAAGATATAAAAATAACATGAAACTATTTAATGGAATTCCTGACTAGCAGTGAAAATTATATATTTTCCACGTAATCAAGGTTGCAAGAGAAACATATAAGCAGTGATATTTGAAAAACAAGGATGATAGAACAATGATAATGTATTTAATAACACAAATAAATACCTTCTTAGTATCTCCTGTGTCTCTTTTTCTTAAAAAAGTAAGAGTTGTTACACCATCATTAGTTTTACCAGTAATATTAAATATATCTTGGGATTCATCAAGAAATGGTGCAGTTTGTCCAACAATCCATGTGTCCATCATGAAAGGACGTCCAGATTTATCAACCCAACCAATGATTGCATCTGTTTGTGCCTGTTTGGAAATACTGCATTACAATTTTTTATAAACTTATTCACCATTTATCATGAATTAAAAAAAATATTGTACCTCTAATTAACAATTGAGGATTAAAAATATAAATTTTATTTAATTTACTGTAATTTCTAAAGTCAAAAAAACATGATGAATAATATGATACAGTTGATCTGCAAAACATGTGCAGGAACTGTATGGTAAATAAAAAAAAAAAAAGATTGAAACTAATCATGAATTGCTTCATGACATTGTTCTTCAAGTCTACAGATATCCTCACACTTCTTTGTATAATATGATAACTTTAATAGTTATGGGTAGAGACTGGATTTTTGTGCTGTAAAAATCCGAAAAATGTGCAGCAAAAATTCCAAATGTGCAAAATCATACAGTAAAAACCCAAAATATGTAAAATTGTGTAATTAACATGTAAAAAGGTGCAAAATCATCAATACTGTTTCATTTATAATATTAATACATCAAAGTCTTATCAGATTTTGAGTTAAATGAGAGATAAAAAAAAAAAAAAATTAAAACGTAACATTGAAGATGAAATTTTATATTATATTCAACAAACGACAACATAACATACAATGTAATACAAAAATAAATTACAATTAATCAAAATATTAAAGAAAGAGAAATTTAAATAATAAGAGTTACATAAATCTAACATTGATTTAATACTCTTTTCCATCATTTAACAACAAAAATGTCAAGAAAACACTTGGCTGAAACATCTATTAATTTTTCTTTCTACAGAATAAGGTCTCAACAATTAACAGCAAAATAAATTAATATATTTGTTTGAATTGCTCTTAAAATGGTCAATTGTCTGACATGCAAGGAATGAGATAATGCAGAGCATTGAAGATTGGAAGGAATAAATGAAGGTACATATATATTATATAGACCATACAAATTTAAGATATTAATTTCTATTAAAAATAATAATGTAAACCTTATTTTTGAGTCAAGTTGAAATTTCCCATATTATAAATTTCAAAACCTTTTTTATTAAAATTTTAAGAAGCTTTAGGAATATAATATAATATTTGAGATTTTCAAATGTTCAAATATTAGCGTTGAAGCTACTTTACTAAATTACTAAAAAAAATTAATTTTTGGAAATTAAAAAAAAAAAAATTCAATTCTTTGATATAAATATTTTTTTCTTACCAATTCTACAATGAGCGTCAATCAATGATTTTATATAACACTCAATTAATTTTTCAAAAGCCATACTGAACTTTCTTATCAAATTTCAACTTGGGTTATATTTATACCCAGATTTGAATTTTTGACAAGATTAGATTTTACTTTCAGCATTATTATTATTATATTGATAATAATAAAATTACTACAAATAAATTCAAAGTTAGGAGGGATTCTGAAGGGCTGAACAAATGAGTGAGAATTTAAGTCAAAACAATAACAATAAATATCTTACTAACAAAAGAGCTTATTCTAGGAAAGCAGCTTTTTATTATTAAATACTTTAGACAAGATCTATTCTAAGAAAATCTCTCACTTGTTTTTACTTTTTCCTTTTGTAATGTTAAATTGGATTTTTTGATTGTCACAGAATCATTTATCTTCCTCATATTTATCATGAATAATGATTTTAATTTTAATTTACCATTAACATGTCCAAAATAATAATAATTACTATTAAAAATTGATTAAAATTACAATTAATTTTGTTTTTAGACTTTTATACTTAGGTATCAACTAAAATATGAAAGGCCTGATATCCCTTCTTCAAAATACCTGCCTTTATCCCTCCCTCCCTAGTAAATGTGACAAGCTCCAACAATGATTACTATCATTTCTAAATCAAGAGCGAGGGAATGAAAACAGAGGAGTCCCTAACAATGAATATATTTTCAATTTAATATGCTATTTAAAGTAATATATAAATATATTTCACTATATCATAAGATTTACCATCTTGTGATCCTTTGAAAAAGCTATTCCTGTCCAAAGTTGTGTGTTTTTGGTGGATATTGAAAACTCAATATGTCCTTTACTGCCAATGTAATGCCAAGTTGCATGATATTCACATTCTCGCTTTTTAAGATCACAACCTTTTGGGTAAGACCACTCTCCCTGACAAAAACTTAAAGTTGTTGGAGTTTCTCCTTGATTTACTGACGAAATTTCTGCTTGTTCTAAAAACATAAATAACTTTTAAGATTTACTTTAGTATTATTTATTATTAATAATTACCAGGGCAAATTAGTTATAAAGTTTTAGCTACAGGTGAAAAAAAGAAGTGCTGAAAAGATTTATAAATAAATATTATACATTTTAACATAAACTAAAATGAATTTTTAATATTTATGTAGTCGCGAATTATACCTAGTCCTGTCATAAATATTGTTAAAAGGAAATATATACAGATTTCAAAAGAAAAATTATTTTTTTCAAAAACTTTATTAGAAAATAAAATTTATATCTATAGAGAGTAAAACAAAAAAGAAATTACTCAAAATGTCCCCGTTTTGCCTTGACACAGGCATTTAATCTCTGTGGCCAGTCATCAATCAATAGCAGCACGCATCACTTCTTGAGAAAAGCGCTCAACTGCTCAGACCAGAGATTGTTTGAAGCTTTCCAAGTTAGGGTGTGCTCTGTGGCATGCCATCATCTCCAGTTCGGACCAAAGCCGATAATCTAGTGGGTTGAAATCAGAGCTTGCTGAGGGCCAATCCAAGGCAGAGATGAACTCTGGAATGTTCTTTTGCAGCCACTGAGTTGACCTGGCCTTGTAAGTTGGAGCGGAATCCTACTGGAAAACTCAATGACTTCCAGCAAACAGAGTATCATTTAGAGGCTTGACAACAGTTCTAAAATATTGTTCTGATCGTTTTTAGTAGCTGTGGTGCCATCAAAGCAAACTCCCTACCAAATCATCACTGAGGAAGGGTGATGACCTCTTTCCACTATTCCAATGACTTCCTGAGCTTCTTTAGAGCTGTGTGAGTACGCATGATCATTTTGGTGATATAATTTTTCCTCAATTGTAAAAATTTTCTCATCGCCAAACAAAATCTTTTGATGAAGACCATTGGTGTAACGGCCAAGGAGGATTTTGCATTTATCCACTCTATTTTTTTTTAGGGAAGTGGTTAGCCTTTGTCCTGTCATTCTTTGAAATGCGCCCATCCTAAAGTCACTTTTTACTATGCGAGACATTGATATGACAGAGATTCCCATTTCCTGAGACATGATTTGTTGTTTTCAAATGGGATATCTTCTGATTCGAGCAGCCACTGCTCTCACTGCATTTGCTGTTCAAAAGATATAATACATTTATTTTGTGGATGTAATTTTGTATCTTAACGCCGCCTTGTGGTGAATTCTAAAAACAGATAAGAATCTGGAACCCGATGGAGAGCACAGCTCTCACCCACTTGAGGCCAAGATTTTGAATAGAGAGAACCAGACCAGACCAGACCGGAGAGTCCCCTCATAGCTAAGTAAGATATCTATGCCAGTATAAAAGGGTGAGTTACTTTCATAAATCATATAACCTACCATATTCAATAAAAATACAGTCCACTGCCAGAATAATGTCGAATGTTGCCTAAGTTAAACTCATTAGAGTTATTTGCCTTTACCTTTATTAAATTGCAAAGTTGTCAAAACAACATTTAATAGGTAGACTATAGAAAGCAAAAGATAAAATAAATGACAATGTAAAAGGAAGAGTGTTGTTTTTTTCTTACTTCAAAAAATATAATTTTTAAAAGATTAATTTTTTTTTGGTATCACTAATTTTTAGTTGTTATCACTTATAATTACTCCACATTTCTAAGGCGCACAACACAGAATAAAGTTATTTTCTATCTATCTATCTACTTTGAGGTTATATATTATCTTAGTTTGCAATTAACAGATGATATAGCTAATCATCATTATAATTAGAAACAACAATTTAAATTATAATTTATATTATAAGAATCTTTTTTTTTTTTTAAATATTTTTTTTGGCTTCTCTCCTTCTTCGCCTTTAAGGCTATACAGGGTTTCCCCAGGGCAGGGGATGTGGGCAGGGATTTAAAAGACTCCCCCAGCACTGGGACGTGAACTTGTGATTAATTTTCATCATTGTCTCACATATCAGGTTGCCGAACAGGTGCTGTGCACACGCATTAGCCCATTCGGCCACCTCGCCCAGAATCACAGGATGTATATGAATCAAGTTACTATAGGACTTACATTTATCTCTTTTCATTTTGGAACTATCTTATTCGGAATAACTTACCCCGGTAACTTTAAGCCCAGCTCTTCTCTACACAGACAAATTTGCCAACTACCCCAAATCATGTATTTTCTCACTAGCTTTGATCCTATCCTTTCCACTTACTCAATCCTATCTAATAATCAAACTTTTTAGTGAAGCTCTTAAAATATTATAATATAATAAAATATTAAAAAAAGTAATTTAAATAAGAATAGTTCTTCTTCCTTTTCTTTCACCCATTTGCCTAGGGTGCATCAAGTGTGGGGGTGCTTCAAGCCATAAAAACCATCTGTGTCTGTCCCTGGCAAGGTTCCTAAGAATAGTTAATTTATTTTAAATCTTAACTTCAAATTTATTTACACTTACCAAAAAAATTAATTGATGCAACACCTCTTTGACCTCCATGGCCATGATATTTTAATTCATCTTCATTATAAAAATTTTTCATTGGAATATCAGCATGGTCTGATCCTGTTAGTTTAGGATCATGACCATAATGATTTTGGTCCTGTCCTTTGGCCCAAATAACATGCATAAGTGAATTTTCTATTGAGTGATCGGTCATTTCAGTTGCTGTAAAAAAGTTAACAGAAATTAACAGGGTAAGCAGATTAAATAAATAATTGAAAATTATACTCATTTAAAAATGAAGTGGATCATTGCATTAACTGTTTACAAAATTGTAAGGAATCAATATTTTTCCACTTTAACATATGGTATTTGTTTACACTCGCAATGTGCCAATTCCTTTGGAATAAACTCAAAAATAAAAAAAGGATGAGAATATCCTCAGTTTAGTTCATTTACAGCTTGTGTTCACTTCACTTTATTTCTCATAACATTTTTTTTTCACTAACCATTTTTAGTATTTTTTATTAACCCTTTTTTTGACGTCTTACAGCAGTAGAGCTGACAACAGCTTGGAAGGAGGAGATACCCGGACTATAAACCTCACAAAATTGTGTCAAATTACGCATGGAGACATTACAAAATTTGTGGTTATTTTCAATATACACACGGTGAAGGACATCAAAGATCTAAAACAGTACAAGATAGATACTTGACTGTCCATGCTTGAAGGAATCCCTTATTGAAAAATTACCACTTATCGCTGATGATTTATTTTCTATCTCTAATATGAAAATTAGCCTTCACACAGTTAGAAGAAGGATGATAGAGCATCGATGGTACCGGCAAAGACCTCTATGCTTTTCAGGACTCAACTCACAACATAAAGTCCAAAGACTTCCATTCGCTCAAATTCACATATCTTGGACTGATCATGCCTGGGATGATTTCCTTTTCATAGCTGAGTCTAAATTTGTACTGCACCATGATTCAAACTGAGAAACAGTAACCAAAGTCTAATGAGGGATACAATCCTGCCCTGGTCTTACTTGTCTACCCGTTTGGTGTAATCAATTACAGTGTGAGGTTGTACATCCTCACACTCTCAAATAGAACTTGCAGTCTTTGCATCATCAGTGCATCCTATGGCTGAAGTAAGCGGGCCAGAATTAGTTTTTGTTGATTCATAGAGCTAGACTCGTAAGTGAATTCTTTCAAAATCAAGAAATTCGCCGCCTGCATTGGCCTGCTTGCTCTCCAGACCTAAATCCCATTGAATATTTATGGGATCAACTTGAAAAATGGATTTCAGGATGGAATATGTTTCCAAAAACTCTGGATGAACTGCACATAGCAATCTTAGATTAATGGGAGAAGATCCCTCAAGATAACATCAAAATGCTAATATGAAGTATGCCCCATTGTCTTCAGATAATTTACTAAATTTATCTTTTGATTTCTAAACTCCAAAAAAACCAATGTAACAGTTTTATTTTAGCAAATTTTATTTATTTATTACTTCTAACCATGTAAAAGTAAATTATCTTTTAAAAATTAAAATAATTAAATAAGAATTAAGTGTTTTTCATCTTATTTTGAATGATCCACTTCATTTGCGAATAAGTTTGTATAATTAAAATAATTGTTATAAATTTTAATTGTTTATAGTAAATTAAAGTATTCTCAAAAGAATCAGTTATTTAGAAACCAATCGATGATTATGCAAATAAATATATAATGTGATTAAATAAATTTAAGGAGAAAATCTAGATGTTATTCAAATTAAGAATAAAAAATAATTAAACAATATTGTTTAAAATTGAAAATCATTTCTATAATTTATTGTTAATTGAAAATAAATAAACTAAACTACATAGAATATAATTATTAGTTTTATTAATCAAATGTTTATGATTCTTTACATACATATTGCGACAAATTTTTAAGGTTTAAGGTTTGTTATAGGCTATATTGCTAAGATATTAAAAATGTTGTTATTATAACTTCTTATATACAGTCGGATTCTAAGATTATACCTACAATTTTAACTTTTTTTTAGTTGATAAACGAATCTAAGATTTATTATCATAATTGGTAATTGATTGACTGTCGTGGATAATGAAGAGAAGAATAGTTGGGGTGCTCAGTCAAAAAAGGAAGGCAAAAATAAATAAGATTTATTATCAACATTTATATATGTTTATATATACCTTTTAATTTTTTTCTGAAAACTATAGTAGTAACACCATCCTTTTCAAAACCCATGGCTGCTGTCAAGTCATTTTTTCCGCCCCAATACGTATCAAGTTTTGGTGTTGACCTGAAAATATGACAAAAATACTAGAAAATGATCTATTTGTATTAGGATTTTTATTGATATGAACTATTATTGTACCTGAAACCTTTCAAGCTTATTTTAAGTGAAATTTTTATTCTTATTTTTGTATATTTTCTTTGTAAATAATAGACATTAACACTTTATCAAATTACATTATGTTAAGTAAAATAAGGGAGGTACTGGCCTTTAGGAAAAACTTAAAGCCTATAGACCAGGGATTCCAAACAAAGAGCTAGCAGGCACCAGTGGGCCCACGTGACATCATTCGTGTGTGTGAAAAAAAGTTTGTCCGCCCAAGAGTAACATAAACTTTACAGGCAATCACCTTGGCAACAATTTTACCGCAGATCATGTCCGCTGTCGATGGACAAGTTTACAATAAAATAACAATACACATTTTAATAAATATCTAATGGTTAATTGCAAGTATGAGGGATTACTTTTAAAATAGTAATTTAATTATATCAAAGCATTTTCTGTTTCTTTTTTTTAATCATTATTTTTTTAAATGTGATATAAATACGAAATTTATGGAGATATAAGTAAACTATTTGAAAATAATAATTCATTACCGATATAATAACATCATCATTGTTTTATTAAATCTCTTTATTTGGCAGTAAAACAAAAATCAATGACACTGTTGGTAACACTGCTATTTTTGGAAATAATAAAAATGTTTGTTATGAAATGTATTTATTTCGTTTTATTGATATCCTTTATATTTTCTTTTTAAATATTATATTAATATAATACAATATTGATTAATATTAATGTAATATTAAATACTACAGTTAACTACTTGAAATTCACATTCAGTATTTGCACTATAAAAAAAAAATCGGTGTCTGCCACCTAATAAATAACCTATAAATGTGCCCACAGGTGAAAAAAGATTTGGGACCCCTGCTATTTACCAATGCTACACAATAAGCAGCTGTAGGACCTCTGTGATTGGTGGTAGCTACTCACACTGATAGGACCTCAGCTTATTCTGAATCTTTATAGGTGATAGGCAAAGAGTCAAAGCAGTAAAGGAAAATTAAGAAAGGAAAAGCCTTTGAAGGATTGGAACATGTGGAGGTTTAACCATCCTCTAAGGGTGTCACCTTAACAAAGGAAGACAATTAAACATTATACATAACAATATAGAACGACTGCAGGTATATTTAAACCTTCAGGCATTCCAAAATTTACCTTTATCACCACTAATCATAGTGACAAGAAAAATTTAGTAATTATAAATCATTTTCCTTCACAAGAAGAGTTCATGGTGTGGCTTGTTAAAAATAAAACAAAGAAAATATTGCAACTTGATTTCTGGCAACACTCTTAACATTAAACATAAAAGGATAAGGGGGTCATGGTAACAAATGAACATAATAAACTGACCTTCTTGGTATAGACTAAGTTATTACTCAAAAAGACCTCACCGACTACAGGCTTATCACACACATGCAGTGTACATTGATCTGGTGCATTTCCCCACACCACCTCTCCTTTTACTTGCTGATGAGATGTGCTGCCAGAGAATAAATAATTTAAATTTAGGACTGTAACAGTACAGGAGCTACGAGCTATGAGGTAGCTATGAGAACATATTCTCAGGATTTGTCCTAAATAAAAAAAAATATGACCCAGAAAAATAAAAAAAGGAGACCCAGGGTTGTTATAGAGATTAATAATCATAAAAAAAAATTTGAGATGTTCTGCCTTCCTCAAGAAATTTGAGGATGATCGAACAAACTAACAGCTATGTTGGAATGGAGGAATTAAATAAGATGAGCCAACAAACATGCAAAAAGGGAGTAGTCAAGCAGCTTTTCAGTAAAGCAAATAAATAGTACATAGTTCTCATTAAAAAAATTGAATTGAACTATCCAAAACATATGTAAAACAGGAGAAAAATAACATAATAGATGAGGCAGTGTGGTGAAGTGGTCAAGATTCCATCATTCCTTATTCATCATTTGTTCTAAAGACTTGCTTTCAAGTAAAGTGGACTATTTAATCAGCAGATCTACTATCTCACATTAAGCTCATTAAATACCTTTCAGGAATATTGATAATATTCCTTCTTTTAAAAATATTTAGCTTTTTTTTTTTACATTTTTAAACTAAAATGACTTTTAAGGTTTTAATTGTTGCCTATGTTTCAACGTAAGTATTTGGGTCATCATCAGGGCATGTTACCAGCACTGAAGGTGTTCAAGTACGGGATCAACTTTAGTGCTGGTAACATGCCCTGATGACCCACATGCTTAGGTTGAAACTTAGGCAACAATAAAAATCTTAAAATGACTGTATCCTGAATATTTATCACCAATGATATATAGAACAGTCCCCTAGTGGATCCAGCCGAGGGGTGCGGAGGGCGCGCCTCCTTCTCTGGAAGCTGGAAAAAAATTCCAAAAAAGATTTCAAAAAGCACCTATTTAAAGAAAAGAGAAATATAGAGAAAATTTATCCTCATAGAATTTTTCTAATTTATATAAAAAAAATTATTATCGTGACCAGCACTAGCAAATTCTCCCAGGGGGCGCCCTCCGATAGATGGGAGAAAAAAATTCCGAAAAAGTGACAAAAACACCTATTTAAAGAAAAGAGAAATATGGGGAAAATTCATTATCATTCACAAATTTCCTAATGTAATAAAAACAATATTATAATCATGACTAACACTAGCGAATTCTGCTAGGGGGCGACCTCCCTTGGATAGTGGAAAAAAAACCAACTATTTAAAGAAAAGGGAAATATAGGAAAAATTCATCCTCTAAGACGAATTTTCTGTTATATGAAAAAAAATATTATCGTAACCAGTACTAGCAGATTCAGCAGAGATTCCGAAAAAGTTCCAAAAACCAGCTATTCAAAGAAAAGAGTGATGTAGTTTTTGGGCCACCGTGAGATGCGAAGGCTTCAGGCTCCCGTAGCAGTTTGTCCCTATTGACTCTGAACTGGAATACATCTCGCAGGTGAAATACAGGATGGAGGAAAATTTATTTTAAAAAATACGAACCTCATTTATTGTTTCAAACAACCTTTTTTTCGAGCACTAGAAAATACTCCCCGACCCAGTTTTTATTCAGTTTCAATAGATCCGGATGCATTGCAACCTCAAGCAACTATAGTCTCCTTGAAGAATCTGTGCGATTCATAATACTACTCACGATAATAATTTGTACATTTCTCATTAGAAAGTGTTGTTCTTTTCTTAAAATAGCTGCTATTGGAAATGTTTTTATGAGGCAAGATAGTAATTATTTGGTCTCCGATTTGATCCCAATCTGATTATGATCAGAATTAGAAATTATCTGAGTTTTTGTTCTTAGAGCACTCATTTCTAAGCTGCAAGGCCATTTATTGTAATCTTTCTCAGATTTTGACAATGTCGGTAATAATTAGAGTCATTGACCATGGTTATCAATCATATCACTTAATCAAATTATGTGATTTGATGATAAAAATTATCAAGTTTAGGTACTCAGTCGACGCATGATTTGACATTCTTTAATTTCTCAAAGAATACTTTTTTCGCTTTAATGCACTGTTTAGAAGTAATACATGAAAAAAAAAAAGATGTGATAAATCTGGATTTTTTGGCTGCAAAAAGTTTTCTCTTGGTAACCTATGTTAGTAATTTTGTTTTTTACATGTCTAAACCCATACACAGGGTGTCTCGTAAGTAGAGGGAAATATTTAAAGGAGTGATAGCCGAACTCAATAAATTCAAAAAAGTTTATATAATCAATGGTTTGATTTTCAGCAGAAAAGTTCGGAATTAAAGTTTTGTGATTTTTCATGTAAACTACGTTTTTTTGTTGAATAGGAAGTGATAACAAAAAAACTATTTAATTTAAGTAATTACCGATTTCTTCACTGTAAACTAGACAAAATTTACTTAAAATTAAAATAGAATTTACTTTTGTTAAAACCTAATTAAAGAGGACTTTTGAGTGGCTAAATTCAGCTAAGGAATGGGAGGAAATGGGTAGTGGTGGGGAACCGATAGGGGTGGGGAACGGATAGGGGTGGGGGAAGCACCTGGTAGGGGAGACCCCCCTAAGAAAATTCCTGGATCCACCACTGGAATAGTTGACTGACTAGCTTTCTTCAATAATTCATAAAATGATTTTTTTTTTTCAAATGAACTGTTTTACAAGTTTAACGTATTTGGGAGATTACATCTAAATTCTTTTACTTCAAACTTTCTTAAATATTAATTTATTTGAAATATGATTGTCACTTACATGTCCCTGGTATAATAATCCCAAATTCGAAACGCATTTCCTCTTGCTGTTCCTATTACCATATCTGTACAATCCATGGGACTAAAACCATTTTGTGTTGCATATTTTGAGAACATATCTAAAAATAAACAAAAAAGTAAGGTTAGAAATGTGATTTGTTGTGTGAAATAATCAATAATCTAGAAAAACATTTTTTTTTTTTTAATTGGATTATTCCCGAAATACATTTGTCGGATTTATACATTCCAAGCTTTTAAATATTTGTCTATTTTTCATTTTGACTTTTTTTATATATATCTTTTAAAGGGATTCCGAATCTCATTTTATGTACCCTCACACCTACAGCTGCTATATATCTTCAGCGATGTCATGCCCTAAGAACTACAAATGAAGGTTAACTCCTCAATGGCTTCAGGTCAGCCTAGGTATAATTACATAGTTTTACTTTATATCTAACGTTTCAGCCTATTTGAATGTAATGTGTGTTTTTATTATTAAAAATAAAGCTAAGTCCTAAGCAACAATGCTAATATATCATATATATATATATATATATATATATATATATATATATATATATATATATATATATATAAAGAGACAGAGAGACCCCCTTTAATGTTTTTCTTCACTAATCCAGTAGTTCATCATCCCTTCAGAGATTCAATTAGAACCAAAATACATTTGTATAAAATCAGTTGACCACTTTTGTATTATTATCCTCACATTTTATGTGTATTGTTTATATTTATACATCATATAAGTAGAGGACTACTGGAATGTTTAACATTATTGGCTATTCCTTCAATATATTTGAACTAAGAAGAAAATTACAGTTACAACAAATCGAAAAACTTTTTTTTTAAAGAAAAAAATAGAATTATGAAGAGAAATAGTAGAATTACCAGGTACTTCAAAATATTGTTTAAAATATCAAAATAGTATGTGGTAAACTTAAATATTTTTTTAATAAAAAGTATTATGGAATTTAAAAGTAATTTCTAATAATGTGATTTTTATTTGATAACATAACATTATTTATGATTAATTAAAATTCTTACGAACCTTTTTCATCATTACTTTCCTGAATACTGGTGTCAGTTTTGGAACTTGGTTCAAGCTTGGGAATGGAATTTAATTTTTCCTCTGGTTTAGATTCTGATTCAGTACTAGATTTCAATTCAGGTACATCACGAAGTTTATGTTCTGTATCCATTTCTAAAGTAGAACTGAGTGATGATTCAGTGACAGGTTTAATTTCAGGAACAGATTTTGGTAGATTATCAGGTTCTTGTTCTAAATTTGGCTGAGAAGCCTGAGGATTTTCTTCTTTTGAGTTTCCTAAATGAAAACAAGTGAAACATGTAAAAGAAAATATAATTTAACAAAACACACAATTACATATAAAAAACAAAACATAATATGTACGATCTATTTATAACATAATATATATGATATATTTATATTAAAAATTTGCAATTTCTGAGTCCAGTTTAAGACATTTCTTTAACTTTCCCAAAATCCAGGAAACATAAGTATTGGATAAATAAATATAAAGTGAAAAAAACTTTAATACTTTGTAAAAAAGTATAATTTGGTTGTTCAAAGAGGTGAATTGGTCAGGATTACACTCAACTGCCATGTTTCTCCCCAATTAGGGGTTTCCACATTATTTAGGTTGGGAATGCTGCAGGAATATTTCCTGACCCCAGGATCAATGCACGGCTGATGTAACAGAATAAGTAATTACTTACCACAGCAAGTACTTGGACTTAGCAGATAGGTGCATAGTCCCTTACACACTGAGCCATCCTGCTCCCTGTATATATAATACTAACTGTGTATAGTTTTACCAGTGTTAAACTTGGATTCTGTCAAACTGAAAAACCTTATTAATCAATCTTAGAAGGCTTTTTAAATTTATTGACCTTAATGAAATCCTATTTTTTAACAATGTCCTAGGTTAAACCTGCTTTTATTTTCATTCAGACCAAAAATTCTGCCACTTTTTTTTTTTTTTTTACTCCAGGTATGTTTCTCTAATGGCTTTAACAATTATATTGATTTTTACCAAAACCTATATAATACTTGGGCCTATTAAATTTTGGGTTTTCAAGATTTAAATATAGAAAAAACCAATGAATATCATAATTAAAAAAAAAAAAAACTTAAAAAGATTACCTTCTGTAGCACTAGTTTCTCTTTTGCTTCTATGAGTTCCTGAAACCAATAACATTCAATGTAACATAAAAACATTACTTGATAGTATAAAAGTAAAAACAAAAACAAAGTAACATAATGTTGGAATAAAATATAACAAATACATATTAATAAATATAACAGAGGTACTTTGACATTTCAAACAGCACCCATTTTTTAAACCTCATAGTATAGTTGTATGCTAGGTATAGGATATTTATTACACCTTTTAATATACATATGATGTAAATTTTATTTGATTGGCTTTGAAGATGACTCATCTTTAGTATTTATAATAACAAGGTTCATATTAAAATTATCTAATTTCGACATAAATTAGGCTCAGGAAAATTTGAAATTTGATTCGGACTTATGCTGTTCCTGCAGTCAACTGTTTTTTACATACAGCTGAAAACTTGGAAAAAGGTAACCATTCATTAAAAGTTTATATTTTACAACAATTTATATTAATTTAATTCATTTTACAATTTAATTTATTTATATTATATTATTTTTTTGAGTTCTACCAATGGGTAGTTTCTCTTCATGTTGTACATGTCATGTTACCAATTTCACATTTACTTATTGTATTTTCTATGTAATACAGTTGTAAATTCCATTAAAATAATAAAAAAAAAATATTATTTATATTATGTACAAACATTACGAGTAATAATTAACATAACATAATATATTGTAAAACGAAGAATATAATACTATATATAAAAATAAAATGGTATATATATATATATATATATATATATATATTGTAAATATATGTTTTTTAATAAATAATTTAATAAATATATATTTTTGTAATAAATAAGAGTATTCATTAATGAGGTTGTGTGAAAATATTTGCATTCACTTGTATAAATTTAAGCCTATTCATTTTAATAAACGTGAATACTGTCGTATTCACTTTTAATAAACGTGAATACTGTCGTATTCACTTTTACAAGTGTAAATACTATTTTTATATTTACAGCCGTGAATAAGTATCATCTATATTCATATTTATTTTTATGAATATAAATATATTTATATTTATATTCATAAGTACCATAAGTATAAATTGTATTCGTATTTTTGAATATAAATATGCCCATCTCTGCTGGTCATACGATCCAGCGGTGGGGCAGAAATCACGTCAGTCACTGACTCATGTTATTTCTGAGCTCAACGACTGAAAAAGACATCATGTATTTACAGAACTACTCAACAGACTAATGTGGTTCTTGCACTCAACATGTGTCTTGCCTTTCTAAGCTTCTTTTCAATGAAAACGATTTTTCACATTTTTTTTACTGAAGTGGTTTCTGCACTCACCGATTCAATTAGAGACCGGATTTTCATGCAGTGAAAACCCAAAAAACTGCAATATAAAACTCAAAATGTGCAAAATCGTGCAGTAAAAACCAAAAAAGTGGAAAATTGTATACATAACATGAAAAAATCATAGGTTTTTTAATTTATAATATTATTGTTTGTTTACTCCTATGCTAAGAGTTATAGCCTAGTAATTGAAGTTAGGTATAACGTAAAATTATTTTTTATTTGTGTAAAGGAACTAGTTAAAATAATAAGCATGAGTGTATAACATTGATTTTGAGGAAGAAAATAAGCTTTTATTGAGAAAAAATTTCCTTGAACCAATTGCAAAAGATAAGATTATTCATCATTTTTAAATTAATTACTAATTTAATTCCTATAGGTATATAGAATTATGTACCTTGAACAGAAGTCACCCTGTAAGATACACTAGTAACAGATGAAATCTCTGGTTGAAAATCAGATCCAGGTGCATCTTGATCTTTTGTTGCTCTGGAAGAAACAGTTCTATGAGGACGGAATGGCCTTCTTACACCCGTTTGGAATGTAGAACTAACAGTTGAAGTAGCTTCTGATTCAGCTTGAGGTTCAGAGACTTTGCTAGTATTACTCATTAGCTGTATATTCTGTTCAAGTTGCGGTGTATTTTTGGTTTCTAATTTTACACTATTTTCATTTGTTGATTCCATGTTATCTTCCTTGGTATAGTTAATGGCAGGGAAATTTTTACAAATTAGAGTGGTATTACTTGGTCTCCAGCCAATTCCAAGATATGAAGTACTGTTAGCGACTAAAGCAATTTCAATTTCCTGTTCTTCAGTTAGTATACGCCAATAAAGTTGGAATGTTGGACTAAGTTCCCGATGCATATAATTGGAAAAATCTATTTCATTTCTTATTGTAGACCCTGAAACAAATGACAAAGAGGTGATAACAGATGTTAATATTCATAAAGTAAGAGTGAAACTCAAATCTGAGGTAAGTATTAAAATTACATAACTTTTTGAAAAATTAAAATTAAAATACTTGTGAATCTCAAGTTATAGTTAGCTTGAATAAATCTGAAAATATTGAAGTTGCTCACATTTGATAAAATGCTGAATTTTAATCTTAACGATTAAGTTGACAAACAGGTAGTACATCAACAAGACATAAAGGTATATAAGAATATTTACAAAATATTGATGAATCCTAATGATATTCTAATAATAAGTGGTAAAAATTAATAGTATGGAAATAGTATTATTTTATTTAAGAAAACATTGTAAACAGAATATTTATTTCAATAAAAATATATGAAAGTCTTACTTTTTTTGCAAGCTGTTTCAAACCAACCCAATTCACAATAGCATTGTTTTCTAGGTGCTGTTGTAGATTGTATGTCAACACAGCGTCCTCTGTCTCCGCAATCTGTGTGATCAGCACATTCATCTCTGTATTGACATCTTGGCCCATAATAAAGTCTATTACAACGACATTTTGAAAGTAAATATGGGCCATGACCACTGCAGTCTTCTTTGTATGTTTTTCCTAAAAATATCATTACATAAACAATAATATTCAAAATAACAATTTCGGTTAGCAAACATGTCTATTTAATTTCGTTTGAGTAACCATTCATGCTATTTAAAATACTTAAACTACAGTATAAAATTGTGTAGTCAAATTTTTAATAGTGCCAAGCAGCTTTTGCTTTTCTATAATTTGCTCAACTAGGGTATCCTTAAAGGATATATAATTTATAATTTAAATTAAGTAATTTTGTTTTGATTATTTTTGCAGCTTTCAAATTCATTAATTGCAATAACCAAGAAATTGTCACTTTTTGAACAAATAAGTCTATTTGAAAAAGGCTATTTATGAATCATGCTCCAGTATCTTTAAACTCTTATGTCTAGGAGTTAGTTATCTATGAGAACATCACAAAGTCATTTCTATCAGGCACTTCCTTATTCTTTCAAGCCTTACAAACTGTTTAGGTATACTCATTTTTATCATTTCTATCAGGAACTTTGTTTTATCTACATTGTTATAAGCTAATTTAGGACCAAAAAATAAACACTAACACCTAATGTTTGCATAATATTTCTTCAACATCATTCTGACAGAAAATGTTCATAGAAAGTTTTACATTGATAGCCTCCCAGCATTCTACCAATCCATACATTTATTCTTAATCAATGAATGTTCCCCACCAATATTGGATTTTAGTAGTATTTATGACTATGACAGGATCTGTACAAGAATACATAAAATTGCCCAATCAGTAAATCTTAATGAGAGACCTACCAAGCTCTAATCCCAGAATAAGGAAGACAAAATCTAAAAAAATAATAAAATTATCAAAGCATAAAACAAAACAAACTGAATTTGATGAGAAATGAGCTGAAAACAATGATAGGTCCCCAAAGAGAACACCACTGATCACAGGCGGATTTACGGGGGGGGGGGGGGCTTTCGGGCTTAAGCCCCCCAAAATGGTAAAATATAACCATGTTTTATAGGAAAAAATATTAAAAACTATCTCTTAAAGTATTATTGTTCGTGTAATTACATTTAATAGGACTTCAAGAACCACTAAAACACCATGCCATATGGTTACTTAGTTTCTTTCTTTTTTTTTTCAAATTAATTATCGTTTATATATATATAAAAATCCTTCGGGCTGAAGTCCCCCAAAATTAAATCCTAGATCGCTAGTGCCACTGATTAAAATACTATCTTGAGAAAGATAAACTTTTTAAGAGCCCTAACTTTAGTCCGAGAATTGAGGATAAGAATATTTTTTTTTTTTGTTAATAATGATCCTTTGTCCTTTACAGATGCAGCACTTTGGTGAGACTATTAAAACTGAAATGGGTTCAATGAGCCTCAAAGTATAAAATTTATTTGGGATCCATAAGCAGTCAGAGCATCATTCCAAAAATATCTGAATCACTATACTTAAAACTTTATCTATTGACCACTCCTTGATAATAATAAATGTTTAAAAAATCTGAGAAATAGAACCATACATACTTGTTTTAATATCAACATCTGCACAAGACCAGAAAAGATTACTACTTGATCTTTGTTTGGCTTCTTTTAATAATCTTATGGTACAATCTTCACATTCATAATCCGATGGAATTGATACAGTATAGTGTTGAGATCTGCACAATTTAATAGTCACAATTAGGTTAGTATATAATACTATATTTAACAATTTATAATTAATGGTTAATTGATAATTCTTAATTTTTTTATGATTTTATTTGGCTGTTGGTTTGACTTTTGAATTTATCAAGATTCATGGTTATCATAAAGTGTTCTTTCCCATATACTTAAATATCTATTTTTCTATTTTAGATAGTATGTTTCTTTTCAGATCCAATCAAACTAAATTTTAATTTAATTTACTGATATTTATTTAATGATTTTTAATTTGATCTAAACCAAATATTTTGGATCTGGAAATAGCTATTATCAACAGAAGGATGAACAGCTTACCACTATAGCTGTTTAAATATCAGAGGGAACACTTAAGAGCCAAGCTATCACAACTAATTCAGAAAATATTAGACGAGGAAAGGTACCAGAGGCTCGGGCCTAATCTGTACTATCCTAAAGATGGGCTCTATGTACAAGTGTGGAAATCCTGCTAAACTAGGTATATTTATATGATGAAAATATAATAGGCGAAACCAAGAAAAGTTTAGAAAAGGAAAGAGCACCATAGACTAGATCTTCATTTTAAAACAAGCACTCAAAAACGATGGAAAGTATTGTAGTGTAGGATTTTCAAGCCTTATTAGTAGATTTCAAAGAAATATACAATTCCATGGACAAAAACTGTCTTTGGAAGATCATGAGAGCTGAGGGAGTTCCCAAGAAAATGATCAGATCAGCGAAGTTGTGTAAAAAAGATTTTAAATGTTCAGTCCTGATACAAGAAGTAACTAAATACTTTGATATCCAAAAAGATTTGAGGTAGAGAGATGAACTCTTGCTGATGGTTTTCAATTTAATTCTAGAGAAGGTTATAAGAAAATCACAAGAAAATGGATGGGTGTACCTAATAGTGAATCATAAAATTTTAGGATATACAGAGGAATTAGATGTCCTCATGTGTAATAAAGAGGACATTAAGAGACTTGATTAGAGCAAATTGCCCTACAAGTAAGTGAAAAGAAAACAAAATATATGATAGTAAGCTGAAAAATCCACCCTAACAAAAGAATCTGCTTAGGTGGAACATAGTTTCTGACAGTATATGAATTCAAATACCTCAGCTTCATTATAATTTTAAATAAATTACCAACTATTAAGATAAACCAGTCAATAAGAAGCGCAAACGGAGCTCTTTTTTTTCTTTCAAAAATACTAAAATTCCAGAAAATCTCTAGAAATCTCAAATGAACAATGCACAGTGCTATGATAAATCCAGTTCTAATTTATAGGTGTGAGACCTGAAAAATAAAATTGAAAGATTTGAGACTATAATCCTCCATACAATAATCAGAGTACTAACACATGGAGGAGAAAGACCAATAAAGAACTGTCATTCTGCATCCCATGATATGAAGGCAATGAGGTTGGGCAGATGAGGGGGCCATGTAGCTCAAAGCAATACATCAGAAAGCCTCTATACAACAATAAATGATACAGTAATTAGCAAGAGACCATATGGTAGGCCAAAAAAACAGATGGATAGATATAATCAACAAAGAGGCTGCAAACTGAAAAGCAGCTAGTCCCAGAATGGCAGTAGTGGAGAAGGCTGGTCTAGACAGCCTAAGGTCTACAAGATCTGTAAAGCCAACAGGAAAAAAACAAATCATCTAATTACAAAAAATTCTGTTTTGTAAATAGTAAATGTATGTTACAGCTTTTGAATAAGATATTTTGACTATTATTGTTGAAAAATTGTTAGTGGAAAAATGTAAATAAAAAAAAAATAAATAAAAAAAGGAAAAGGTGTGAAAATTAGAAAAGGGAGATACTGGTTAATGAAACCAATTCCTCATACATTGCATCTGTTGTCACATATTCGGACTTTGAAGTGACAGGAGTCAAATCCAATACAGGTCTCTCTAATTTGTCCAGCAACTGAAGTCGAAATCCTCCCTGAAATAAGAACAAATCATGGTTAACAATATCTAAATAGCGTGATATGTGGAAAATATTAGTAACAATGTTAAAAATATTAGTATATATAAAAAAAAACTATCCCACAATGTCCGCACTCGTAGGAATAGACAAATGTTTCACCGCAATTTAGACATTAAATTGAATTTCAACAACAAATGATCTAAAACTTATACTAAAAATAACTTTTAATTTAAAAGAGGTGTTTCGGTTGTTAGTTAAACGGGGAAAAATCAAATAAATATTGTTAATAAGTGATGGTATATCTTTACCTTTTGTGGGTACGCAATGTGCCAGGTAATATTGAAAGGTTTCCCTGCCAGCAGCGTTGTTTTGGTGGTACCTGTAATAAAATATATACATTAATCAAGATATGAGAGTTTTAATGAATTTATAAGAAGTATTTTACGTAAAATAAATTTTTAAATTATCTTCAGCTATTTATTCATCTTTGGTACCTCATTCTTTTCAAAAACATTTTTTACGATTGAAAACCCCGTCATCATTCGATGGTATATTTTGATTATTATAATACCCCCTGCATGGGCAGAACAATCGAAGACACTTTATCTTATTTATTTATTTTATAATCAATCGATTCTTTTTTTTTTTTTTTTTTTTTTTTTTTTTTTTTAGGGTTGTTAGCCTTGTGTCAAACTTCCAAATCTGGAGGACCAAAGGAGCTATGTTATTAGACATAGGGATCGGTCCTCACGTTCTTGTGAATCTCAGGTTGGAGACGTTTACCGTCCCCATACGAGAATCGAACCCGCGCCGTAGTGGTCAAAGCAATCGCGTAGTGACTGCAATTATTTAGGTATTATTAATTATTTATATTTTTTTTGTTATTTAATCCCGCAAACGGGATTTAAACTCGTAGCATACAATTTTTGCAGTCGCCTTATCTCACTCGACCACCGCTGCCCCAATCGCTTAATTATAAACATGGGGACACTTTATTTTATTTTTTACCCACAATCGATGTCAAGTATAAATCTCGATATCGTATCTATTTAAAATAAAGGTGGTGTTTTGTATTATAATTAAGTTTATTAAATTAAATATATACGTACCTTTGGTAAAATATATTTATTACGATTAATGAACCAAGCACTCAGAGTAACATTTAGTAATGTTGAAAAAGCTACCCTACTCCACCATAGGCGCAAACAATATATTTCAGAGTAATACACTGGTATTACAATCATAAATGCAAAACGGAACGTGTTTGGTGATACTCTTTCACCACTAATAATATTTTGACTTATGATGGAGACCAACAGAAATTTGTTGATGTAACCGATGAGTTCTTGTTCCTCAACCATGTTTGGAACTTTCGACTGATCCATTTCATCACAAGCACTTCTACCAACCGACCAGGTGTTTCCGACCTCATGTTCTGGAAGCTATCTAATAGTGACAGTATGCGATATTCGTTACTAGTATTTGAGACAACTTGTTTCTGTTTCTCAACAGTACCATTAGCTTGACAAGACTATTTTTGTTATAGTCTTTAATATTTAAAAACACTGCCGATCTTTTTATACTGCCGGTATATATATATATATATATATATTTGTATTTATTATAATATGAAATGAACATAATTTTGTTAAATAAAATAATTACATTGCAATTTATAATTTTTTTTAAATTTTTTATGAACCTATTCTGCTATATATTTTCAAGAATATAACAGAATAAGTAGACTTATAAATTGGCAAGATAAAATGAATCATAATGGAGGAAGAACAAAAGTCCTGGAAGGTTCAGTTAGGCACCAAATCTATAATTAGTTAAAATTGATAGTATTAAGTACTTCAAATACTTATATTGTATTAATATATATATAATATATATACAATCTAAGTATTTGAAGTACTTAATACTTCAAGAAAAAAACAAAATATATCATAGTTAGCCGAAATATCCACTCTAATAGCACGATCTGCATGGACTCTCTGCAAGTGGAAGTCATTCCCGAAAATAGATAGATTTAAATATTATATACCCACATACTAGACTGAAACGACTAGAAACCGCCCGACGTTTTCGACTACTGCAGCACTTACTAGACAAACGCTCTAAGCTTTCAATCAATTACAACCGACTCATATATATGACAATAATAAGACCTATTTGGACTTACGGAATTGAGCTTTGGGGCTCCACTAAACCATCGAATTCCTCTCGTATCCAATCCTTACAATCCAAAATCCTTCGTAAAATCCTCAACGCTCCTTACTTTGTCACAAATAAAATCATCCATAAAGACATTAATGTTCCATATGTTTCCGATTTGGCCCAATCTAGATACTTATCCTTCCATAACAAACTGCAGAACCATCCGAATCCTCTCGTTTCAAAACTTGCTTCCTCCTCGATCCCTGACAACCCTCCGAGGCGTCTGAAAAGAAGATGGCCTCGGGTCCTTCTAATATAGAACTTTAATTTTAGTTCTACCAATGGGTTATATATTGGGGTACAAATATATATATATATATATATATATATATATATATATATATTATATATATATGTATTTATATATATATATTTATATATATACATATATAATATATATGTCAAGCCCGTTTTTCATTACAAACCGCTTAGCTCTAAAACTGTTACACCAGTTTACGCATGATTGGCAAAATGGTCCGTGCTGTCTTGAGATGGTTCTAAGCTACTGAAACCCTTGATTTGACGAGTAGAAGGACTCTTCAACACAATTTTAACGGGTTTACATAATTTTCTTAATATACTTAATAATTTTTATGATTTTTGCCTTTTATTATGTTAATCATTTTCTCTCTCTCTCTCTCTCTCTCTCTCTCTATATATATATATATATATATATATATATATATATATATATATATATATATATATAAAATTTGTAAAATGTTAATTAAGAAATAATCAACAAACTAGGAGCCATTTTTCATCCCAAAACAATACAACTTCTTCATTTACAATAAAAAACTTTTATGTAAAGTTTCTGCTTTTTTGGCCATTTTCAAATATATTTTTATATACTGTTTATCACCTGTAATATAAAAAAATTACTTATTTTTAAAATATACGTCAATTTTTTTTCTCTTCAGAATAAATATTTTTTTTTAAATAGAAGAAATTGACGTATATTTAGAAATAAGAAAAATAATTCATATTATAGTTGGTAAACAGTTTATAAAGATGTGTTTGAAAAGGACTCAAAATTTGAGACATGTTTGAAAAGGGCTCAATACTAAAGACATGTTTGAAAAGGAATTAATACTAAAAAACGAAATGTAAAATATATGAAGGAAGTCAGTCGACTGTTCTATATAGCATGGGTAATAAATGTTCAGGATGCAGTCTTTTTTAAAAAAAATTTTTAAAAATTTTTTATTTATGCCAACGTTTCAACTCAAAATAGGGAGTACTTGAACACCCTCAGTGCTCAAACCACGCCCTGAAGATGACCCACATGTTTGGGTTGAAACGTTGGCATAAATTAAAAATTAAACATTTAAAAAAAAAAAAGACTGCGTCCTGAATATTTATCACCCACGTAAAATATATGGATGAGGCATAAAACTAAATAAAAGTTTATTGTCGTAAATGAAGAAGTTTTATTAGTCTTTTTGGGATGAAAACTGGGTGGGTACTCGTTTGTTGATCATTAGTTAATTTTTTTTTTTTATTTATGCCAACGTTTCAACCCAAACTAGGGAGTACTTAAACACTCTCAGTGCTCAAACTACGCCCTGAAGATGACCCACATGTTTGGGTTGAAACGTTGGCATAAATTAAAAATTAAACATTTTTTTTTATTTTTTTAAAAAAAAGACTGCCTGTTTATCATCAATCCTGAATATTTATCACCCACGTAAAATATATGGATGAGTGATAAAACCAAAAAAAGTTCATTGTCGTATATGAAGAAGTTTTATTATTTCTGTGTCTTTTTGGGATGAAAACTGGGTGGGTACTCGTTTGTTGGTCATTAGTTATTTTTTTGTTTTTAATAAAAAGAGTGTCGTTGAAAATAATTTATGTATTGATTGAAATAAATTACGTTATTTACATTACACAAGATGGGAAGACAAAGGTCTGATGAGTGGTCCAGGTGTGTATCAACTGAAATTAATTTCTGAATATTGACTATTCCGCCGAGTCAGCGGCGACCCTCTTTCATAATGGTGTTGGTTTGTGAAATTCCCCTACAAGCATATCTAGCCTCGGTGGGGCAGAAACTCTAGGCCATTGTTTACCCTCCACCTCCACGTTCTCTTATCGGATCGCCCAGTTTGCTAATTAACAGATTGTGGTTCAAATTCCCTATTTAAGCTGCTGTTTTCCAGGTCTGTTAAAGCAGAAAACCAGAGTGATGAAGATGAAACCTTTAGGCTTGGTGTTGGTTGCTTCCATCATTTCGTTGTCAGCGGTAAGTCTACATTCTCACAATCTCGCTAAAGTCCCGTTTCCACGATGACAGTTGATGCTATGACAGCAAATTTAATTTTTTTAAATATGACATTTTCTCTCTTTCGCACTATCAGGGTTTGCCAAACCGGCTTGAAATGAAATTTTAATATTATATTTCTAATCAGTTTTGGTCACTAGCGGATCCAGAATTTCAATTTAGCCCGAAAGCTATTTCATAAAAATAACGATAATTACTTTGGAAAAAGAAATAAATAAACTAACTGCCTACATGAAATGGTGTTTAAGTGATTCCTAAAGTCCTTTTAAATGTGATTATATGAACAATAATACTTTAAATATTTTTTCCCATAAATATTTTATGTTACCATTTTGCGGGAGGCTTCAACCCGAAAGCCCTCTCCCCCCTCCCCGTAGATCCGCCCGTGGTTTCGGTATGACAGGGATATTTATTTTCCCGGTTTTTCGGGATTAAAACTTTTTCTTTTGCAACTTTTATTTTGAAGTTCCAACGATTTCGCAAAAAAGTCGATCTGAAACATTACTTTTATCCTTAGCTACACAAACAAAACACGCACCAGAATCATGCTTAATACATTTAAGACAAATTATAACTCTAATCTAGGCCCAATTGCTGTTTATTTAGGCCCAACTTTGCCATCAACTTTCAACTTTATTACAAAAAAATGTTTCTTAGAACATTTATTTTATGAAATTTTTCCTAAAACGTTTCACAGAAACTGTTAAAATAGGTCCATTAAAGCCCCTGTTGTGTAGACACCAAATAGTAAACAATCATTAATTCATGTTTTATAATCAATTGTAATATGATTATGCAGGAAAATATTGTTCTCGCATATTATATTGATTTGATTATTTGTGATTTTTTTTTTTTTTATGATTACTTGGAAATTTTTTTCAATATATTTTTTTTAGTAGGAATTAATAACAAAATCCTTCTACTATTAGTACGTTGTACAGACCCCATTTTTATTAATTATTAACATTCACCGAAAACTTCGTAAATAGATTCATCTTATCGTAGGCCACTAGCGGACCCAGAATTTATTTTTGGGAATGGGGGCTTCAGCCAGGAAGCTTTTTTTTTCATATATATAACGATAATTACTTTGGAAAAACAGAAAGATACTAACTACCTATATTTTGAATTGATTCAACACAACGTTTTTATGTTGATCGTTTCTTGGAAGATTAATTACTCATATTGCCTTTAATTGAGTGTTTAGATTTATTTGAATTAATTTAGTTATCGAAATTAAGTTTTAGGATTATTATTTTCTTTTCTTATGAATGAGTCGGTCTCATTAAAATAATACTGACATTGGGAATTCTATACTCACCGCTTTTTCCAACTGTCACCGTACACTGTCTATCCCGACAATCCTACTCCGATAGAAATTGTTACCGTGTGAACGAGATTCAAACAACAGCAACCTTGACCCCAGAGGATTACTAATTCTTATTCGATTATATATTTACGATTTAATAGTCGTGCGTTTTTGGAACGTGTTCTATTATATGTTTGCATAATTTAACAATATCCTAAGAGGTTGGATAACTGAGACGGATCAAGGTCAGTTGAAATTTCACCATCCCTCCCCCCAAAAATAAGTTCAACAGAAACTGTAAAAGATACATAAATTTAACCGTTTGTACTTAAGATTTATTGGAATATTTTTAAATTTAACCGTTTGTACTTAAGATTTATTGGAATATTTTTATAGAAGTTTTTGAGCTTTTTCGGTGGTTTCAAAACTCATAAAATTAAGATCTCAAGTTCCATTCGAGGTACATATACGATACGGGACCGTTTCATCAGATATTTTTTATTTCTTTTTCATATAAAACATATACTCTCGTATAGAGAGTGATTTTCTTTAAATCAACTTATATTTTCTAATAGTTTTTGTTGCAAATGAATCGATGTTTGTAACAGCGAACAATATAAAATGTGTCAAAGTGAACGGAAGTTTAATTTTATAAAATATTTATTTTTACTATTAATATGTAAATACTTGATAAAAAAATTGATTAGATTCAATAAAGGTCAGAAATAACTTTAAGAATAGTGAGTTCAAATAATATTGAATAATTTATTTTCTATGTTCACCATGAAATTTTAAAGCTATTTCGCACATTATAAATTGGTTTTTGATTCCTACGAATACAATAAAAAAAATCATCCTATCTTCCATTATTTCATCAAGTAATAATCTAACCATGAAGTAATTTTTCAAAAAAAAATCTTAATTATTGAATAAAATGTGTTAAGATTTAAAAAAAAAATAGCAGATTAATCTCAAATAAAGATAAATCAAACAAGATTAAATATTTGTTTAAGACATTAAAAAAAATTGTATACTTATTTATATGAATACCCAATTTTGATTACATCAAATTTGTACCTCGTTGAAAATAATATTAGATAATTCCAATAATAATAATAATAGATTTATTTCCAGAAAAAAAAATTGTAATATATAAAAGTTCGATTATTTCGTATTAAATAGCATGATTTAAGCTTATATGACAACAATAAATTAATAGGGCGCACTATAAACATAAAAATGCAAAACAAATACATTTTTCTTTTACCTTGACATTGGCATTAAGTAAAGGTCTAGACTAAATGATTGGATAGTTGTCAAATTAATTAATTACATTAAGTTTTTTTCGGTGTTAGATTATAGTAACTATTTTGTGTAGATAATATCATCATGTATGATTTCATTAAAGAAATAAAATTTTCAAGAGAAAAAAAAAAATAGTATGAAGTTAATAAATGTAGGAACACTATATAGAGTAAATTTTAGAAAATTGATTTTTGCAGTGTAATCAGAATGAAGGATATAGAAAAAAATCATAAACCATTAAAATAACGCGTTAATTTAAATAAATTAAACTTATGTACATTTAAATTTGAAATAATTTTACAGAAAGTACAAAAATGAAAACGATCAAATAAAAATAAATATTCGTTTATTTTTCATGAAAATCTTACAAATGAAACGTTGAAGAGGAACATGATTTTGATTTATCAATGTGATTGAATATAAAAAATAACATAAAACACAAACACGTCTATTATGATAGGAGGTTCTTATATACTTAAACCAATGCCAATTAACAAAATATACATATTAAAATAATTACAAGAAGAAACAAGTATTGGATAATATTTTTTCATTATATTTTTTTTAGTAGGAATTAATAACAAAATACCTACGTTGTACGGACCCTCTCTTTTTTTGTTAATTATTAATATCCGTAAATAGTTCCATCTTATTGTAACCTACAACTTTTTTATTTACGTAAATTCTCGGAATTGGTTCAAATAATTGGATAAAAAAAAAATCTAGGAAAAAGGTGGCCTATAAAAATATTGGACCATTTGGCGAGACCTTGTCATGTCAAAATAACGAGGCTATATAGGCCAAACGGATCAATATTTTTCTAGGTCACCTTTTTTTCGGTATTTTGATCAGATTATCTTACGATTGAAGTGAATGAAAGCAAATGGATATTGATGAGTTTTTGGTACCTCATTAAATTAATACGCCTCATTCCATTCAGAATTTTCGTAGATAAAAAAAATGTAGGTTAGGATAAGATGAAGCCATTCACGAAGTTTTTAGGCGGATGTTGATAATTTAATAAAAAGGGGTATGCAGCACAGACTATATAATTGAAAAACTAATTTTAAAAGTATGTGTCGAAAATTATTGTTTTCTTTGTCCTTTACTGCTGTAGACATCGTTCGACAGTTTTAATTTCGTTTATCGATTCTTGAACAGTTCGTTCATTTGGATAAAAAGAAAGAAAAAAGAAAAGAATGATATCTTTTAAAAAAGAAGACTCATAATGGGAATATGTGTGTCGTCCGAAAATGAACACAACCAGGTTTGTGTCTGATCCTCTCAAAAAAAATGTAATATTATTTATTTATTTTTAATTTTGCGAAGAAATCAAATAGATTTTTACAACGATGTTAGTAGGAGTTAAGCTCGGCTAGCAGCCATCTTTAGCTGTGACAGCATTAAGGATAGAACTGCTGAATCGTCGAAAGGTAAAACTTACGCAACTCGGGTAACAGTGGCTACGGACTAATCTCTTCTATCTTTCTATAACACTCAAGAAAATTTAAATATAATATTTAAAAATTTTCATATCTACATTATACTATTAATTAAAAAAAAAAAAAAAAAAGATAGGGTATTATTCTTACACGGGGAGTTCACAGACAGTGGGTCACCGATTTAACCAAATTTTTCGGGTAAGTCTACGTCCAAAAATTTTCGGCACATATTTTGGCGTTTGTTTCAAAGGACCTCAGGAGCCATTAAAAAAAAGTTTTAAAAAACGAAGTTTTCTCCCTTCCAATTATTTTCCATTAAAAAAAACAAAAACATATACATATTGTTTTGTTTTTTTATACGTAGAATAAGAAAAAAAATACACTCAAGAGATTTACATGATATCCTAAAAAAAAAAAAGCCATGTAAAGTCTTTAAAAAAAAGGTTTACGTATGAAACAAGTTAAAATTTTTTTTTTCAGCATCGTTAAGACTACATTTCAAGAAATAAATGTTTTTTATCCCAAATCTATTTACTAACCTAACTTTGATTATAATTATTTCCATTAATCACGAAAATGTTTCATAACTCATGGAGAACTCAACCGATCAACGTAAACATTTTATAGTATCAAAGAGATGCTACAGTATACCAAATGAAACCAATTGGATTTAGTTACATAAATTCGAATTCCAGATATAACAAATATATTTAATTTATTGTTATACCTGAATACAATCAGGCAGGGAACCCCATGCCAGGCTTGTCCCTAGAACTATATAGAGAAAAGCAGAACTCCAAGAGATCCCTGCGTTAATCTCTCAACTGCCTCACTGGTGCTAAAGCCAGTGGAGATTGAGCGAGAGCGCTTTAGCCACATAAACTTATGTCTTGAGTGGAGAATCTGACCATTGCCAGAACTCCAAGATATATACTACAAAAGGTCTCTGGGCCACTGCCTCTTCAACCTTCCAGGAGGATTGTAGGGGTTAGTGGAGAGCAAGTGCAATAGTGATTATGCAAGGGGATTTGGAAGGTTCTAATGGAATTTGGTTAATTTTATGTTGTCTGTATATATGGTGTGAATGTGATCATATCTCACTATAATTATTGTCCGTGTGACAGACTGTTATATTTCTGAATAAAAAAGAAAGACTGTTACCACCAGAAAGTGTAAAAACTTATCTTTCCAACGGTATCAAAACCATATGAATTTGGTACAAATATACACGCTTGATGTGTGTTTATTCTTAATTTAGATATATGTGCAAACAAATTCGCTGTCTTTTGCTGTTTTTTGTTTTTCTTGAAAATTTTCTCTTAAGGGTTTGTAGGTTAACGAATCGGAATATGAAGTTTGTTTTTATTTTAAAAACTGTTTAACCTAATTTATTTATTTATTTTTTCTATTTTCTAATAATTTCGTCGTTAATAGATTCCCTAGTCATTTCTTTGTCACTTTAAAGTTATGGTGTGTAAAAAATCACTTTCGTGATTTCAGTTGATAGGATCATGAATATTTTTAAGAAAGTGAGATAATGATTGATAAGGAAGTTGAATATGAAGACTTATTAAGTTTCTACTTACTTTTATGTTAATTTTTAAGATGGTAATGCTTTTTAGACAATTTAAAAAGGAATTAATATTCACTCAATTTAAAATTTAAATGAGTAGATACCTTACCCTTCGTCGTAAACCTATGTCCTCCCGTCCTACAGTATCCTTTAATAATACCCCACTTATCCCTGTAGAACAAATCCGATACCTTGGATTCCACTTAGACGAGCGTCTAACTTGGAATCCTCATACCAGACTGAAACGACAAGAAACCGCTCGACGTTCCCGACTACTTCAGAGCACTTACTAGACAAACGCTCTAAACTTCCAGTTAATTACAAAAGACTTATATACATGACTACAATAAGACCTATATGGACTTACAGAAATTTAACATAGTGTTTCTTCGTCATTTATTATAGACGTGGACAGAGGTGCCCATCCCCTCTAAGGTCGATGGCGCAAGAATCTATCCCCCCTAAGAATCTCCCAAGATATTTTATCGTTCACCGCTTCTTAAAAACAGAGCAAAATCAGAAAAATCGTAGATCATATACAATTACACTTGTTGCAGGATGTTACATGTTTTTCTCTTGTCGTCCCTTAGTCCGTCGTACTAAGCTCGTAATCCCATCGAAATTTGTCCCCCGCGAAAATTAAAAAAACCGATCAAAATATGCCCCCTCAAAAATTTTGATTGCGCAACTTGCACCATGAAATCCCCTTCTGGGCACTCCTAGAGGGGGAAAAGTTCTAGTTGAGTTACAACCGAATAAAATGGATGAATGAAAAAAAAAATCTTAATTACAGGAATAATGATGGTTTTAGAGATAAATGTTTTTTAATTTTTTACTTGACACCGGCTTATATTTAGCAGATATGCATTATAATTGATAAAGAGGACACATTATGATTGTTAAAGTATTTAACTTAGATCATACACAAATATAGACCAATAAAAAAAAAAGCACCCCTCTTCCCCAGATCCGCCAGTGAAGCTTAGCACAAAAGTCTTTTAATGGTCAGTGACACCTAAAATTATAATTCCGTTCAGAAAATTTAATTATTTTGATATGGACAAACGTCCATCTTGATTAGAACTTTGACCTACTGCCCCTTCTCTTATTTTCTATTTATTTATACCATTTCATGTTCTGTCTGAATTCCCTCCTCCAGTTTTCCTTGTTTTCTCAACAGTTTACCGTTGGCATACTTTCATTTAAAGGTATTAACAAAAATATTTGTCAATTTTTCCTCTATTATTTCCATTCACTATAAAAATGGTTTATCTTAATTAAAGGAATAATCGGTGCTCCAAGGGTGGACTTGTTGCACAAGCGGATCTAAGGGAGGTGAGGGGGGAGTTTCGGACCGAAGCCCCCCCCCCCAAAATGGTAAAATATAACCATGTTTTATGAAAAAAAATTATCTCTAAAAGTATGATTGTTCATCTAATTACATTTAATAAGACTTCAAGAATCACTTAAACACAATTTTATATAGGTAGTTAGTTTCTTTCTTTCTTCCGAAGTAATTATCCTAATATATACATTCAAAAAAAAAATCTTTCGGGCTGAAGCCCTACCCAAAAAAATTAAATCCTGGATCCGTAAGTGACTTGTAGCTATACATGTACATGAATTTGTAGCTACGCTCCGAAAAAGTATCAAATCTATTAAATACGAATCAGCACGAGATACATAAATATTCATTAAAAAGGAAGGAGATGGTCCGGGGTGGCGGTCATAAATAGGCTAAATAGTGGTAAAATTATTTTATTAAAAGCCAACGTTTCGACCCGACTTTTCAGGTCTTCTTCAGGGGTCTGAAACTTCAGTTTTAAGTGAAACTCCTAGCTAAACACACCTCCCTGAAGAAGACCTGCAAAAGTCGTGTCGAAACGTTTGCTTTTAATAAAATAGTTTTACCACTATTTAGCCTATTTATGACCGCCACCCCGGACCATCTCCTTCCTTTATAATGCAACGGTCAACTATTAAATATTGAATATAAATATTTATTCATTAACAATAATATAAGTACGTAGTATTGAATGAAGCTGGCGAAAAATTTACTGAATTTTCTATCAAAAAGAAATTTAACTCAAATATAAACTTTCTTTTTTATTCACAATATTACTCAATTCTTCTTCGGTGCATACTAATTTATTTTCAAGTTAATTTATTTTTAGCCATATTTACACCAATTTAAAAAAAAATTTTTTGTCACTTAATGACTACTCATCAAAATGACGACGTTTCGGCTCACTGAATAGAAATGAGATGGATGACATGTGGTTGACTCAGAAACAAGGTGAACATGACAATAATAAGGAATTTTATTATGAGTAGACGCTTGCAATTCGCATAAGTGAAAATGACAGGTACATGATGGGTATTTTAGACTTGAAAATGGCTCGACGAGCCGAAACGTCGTCATTTTGATGAGTAGTCATTAAGTGACAAAAAATTTTTTTTTAAATTGGTGTAAATATGGCTAAAAATAAATTAACTTTCTTTTTTAGTTCATTCATGCATGTGTTTTTTTGCTTAGTTTTAATTTTCTTATTTTTAGGTTATTTTATTTTATTATTTATTGTATATACTTTTGATTATTATTTTGCTTCTATTTATTTTATATTTTTTGTACATATAGTGCGAATGTTATCCTACCTCACTATAACTAATGTCCAAGAGACAGATTGTTTTAATACTCAATAAATAAAAAAAAGTTTATTTAAATTTTTGTTTTAGGGTAACAACGATGGTTACGACTTCGGCTACAATCTGGCTCCAATATCTCTATTGTACTTGGACAAGGCGCTCTATGACTTTCATGCTGCGGAAGATGCCAAATCTGATCCGAACTCAAGAACAAGAAAAGATGAAGTGGTAAGGGAACCGCACCCTGGCTACTATCCGTGCCCGTGTTCCTACGATCCTAAAGGTGCCCCGGAAAACCCTGTAGCATCAAATTCTGAGGAAACATCTGATGCAGCAAGAACTGATCCGATGGGAGCTTTGATAAATCAGATTTTAAATCAAGCTTCTACTTCTCAACCTTCAGAATCTACCGGAAATGGAGTGGACGGATCTCCGAAGAATGAGGTGAACTCTTATGAAGAATATGACGACGATATGAGCAAGGAAAGCTCCCACGAGTATCACGAATCGATTAGGTCAGTTGAAGATTGATCGCTTCAGTTTGGAAGCGATTGTGTAGATTTTAAATTATGTACCTTGGTCAATTATTAAAAGCCGGGCTGAGAAGAAGTGCCCGAAGAGGTGGTGTTGAGGAGTGGGAGAAGTGGAAGAGTGGGAGAGGAGGCAGAGTGGAGAGGAGTGGGGACGGCCTTTAATAACTGACCAGAGTATATTTAAAACATTTCTTTCTTTTTTGTTTTTGAACGTTTTATGACAATCTTTAAAACTTTTGGACCTTATAATAAATGGTCTGCCAACAGATCGACATGTCAATTTTAACTTTAATTCAGGTGTAAATTTTTTTATCAACAAACATGTAATGTTTCCTAATACTTTATCTACCATATTTTCAATATTAGATATGAAACACTTCAATATCTGAAATACAAATACAACAAATAAATACCAATATACTTTTAATAAGTTCTATTAACATATTTTTAACAAATGAAAACCTCTTTACTTTTAAATGTGTTACATCATTTTGTAGTAATTTTAAGGAAATTCCTCATACATTTATACATCATTATGGTAAATTTAAACACATCAAATGGAGCAGTTTAGCTTTGCTTATGAGTTCGTAATGAATAAACCAAATCAAACATATTTATAAAAGTGCTGTGTGCTTGATGCAATATATTAATCAGTGCCTTATACATTTAGCGTCCATTTCGGACAAGCCTGAGTGCGCCCACTTACCTCATAAATAAAAATATAATTTAGAAATAAGAAATAAGACACGATATTGTATATTACTTTATATTGTGTTTGTTTTAATAGGGCTGTAATTAATTTGCTTTCTTTTAATAAGCTTTCTAATTTTTGATAACCCTCAACATGATGCCGGCGCCTCAACAAGGTAGTATTCCCGGGTTGCCCTGCCCTAAGGCCAGCACTGATATTAATGGGTTATAAATGAGTTATTTCCTGCTAACTATCTCAAGTGCACTGCCTCATTTTTCATTATCTAGTAGTAAGATTAATCATATTCCACCTATAGTTCGGGTGTACAGGGTAAATGCTAGGCAAAAAATAATATATTTTATCAAGAAATAATAGAATAAAAAAAAACAGAGCATTGATACAATGACCATTGTAAGGAGTTTCCACTAATAGTGGGTTTCCTTAGCCTAAAGTTCTTGTATGACTTCTTTCCATAATGTCCTATCTAAGGACCATTCTTTCCGTAGACCATGACCCATCATTGATTCTTCCACTTCGTTATCCCAGGTCTTCCTCGTCTTCTTCTTTCCCTATTTTTCCATAAGTCTTCTTTGGATAGTCTTCCTTCAGGCATTCGTTTCAAATGTCCATAACACTTCAGGCGTTTTATCTCAATCTCTTACAGAATGTTTCTTTTAGCTTCCATATTTTCTCTGGTGGTCGTATTTCTGACTTTACCCATTCTGGATATTCCCGCCGCTCGTCTCCAGTAGTCCATTTCGGTGGCTAGAAGTTTCTTCCTGAGGTTGCTTTTATGTTCCAAGTTTCTGACCAATGCGTCATATTGCTCAGTACTATACTATCTAAGCCAGCACTGTATCTCATAATGAATAAATGTATATGTTTTTTTTTTTGTTTTGGGGATAATGTTCCGGTTCCATAATACTGATTTGAGCATTGATATGGTCTTTTTGCCATCTAAAATTTTCTTTTTATTTCCACATCACATGCACCATCTATTTAAAAATAGGAACCAAAATATTTAAAATGTTAAATTCTTTTTAGAACCCCTCCTGGATTCAGTTCTATATCCTCATTATTGAATGTCATTCCGTTTTCTCTGCATTAATAACTATTTCCCACTGCTGATATTCCTCATTTAATTTTCTTAACATATATCCAGCATCTTCTGCGTCCTGTGTAATATAAATATCCATTCTAAAATTAAATAACCAATGATTCAATCAAGAGAATAAATAATTATATTATGATGAAGAAATTGTGATTAAAAATAATCACATCTTATTGATTTCAAAAAAATAAACTACAAATATATAATTGTAATGTTTTAAAAAGTTTTCTTTTTTGCGGGCGGAGTTATCCAATCCAAAAGTTGGGTGAGTCCAGGAGTATAATTTAAAGATAACAGAAAAGAAAGAAAATATGTCCTTGCGGGAATTGAGACTCGCATTGTGGTCGGGTGATAATTGTGAAATAATTTCTGAAGGTTGTCGGCCACTGATAATGTCGGCCAAAGCGAAATAAACATCAATTATTTATAATATATTAAACAGATGGACAAACCGCTAATGTTTATTAGAACACATTAGTTGGACATAAAAACAAGAAATATTTGACGAATTGTGAAGACATATTAGTAATAATTTTCGAATTATAACATTTACAATCCCACGTGGGAGAAAGTCCAAAGTAAGAGAGCACAAGATGATTTTTTTAAAGGTCAAATGACTTTTTTATCTAACAAGGAATTATTTCATCAGTGCCGGCCATTGGGGCAACAGGAATTGCCATGCACTAGCGGATCCAGGATTTAATTTTGGGGGGAGGATTCAGCCCGAAAGCTTTTTTTTCATAAAAATAACGATAATTACTTTGGAAAAAAGGAAAGAAACTATATACCTATATGAAATGGTGTTTAAGTGATTCCTAAAATCCTTTTAAATGTAATTACACTAACAATAATACTTTAAGAGGTATTTTTTAAATTTTTTTTTGCCATAAAACATGGTTATAATTTACCATTTTTTTGGGGGGGGGGACATTAGCCCCAAAGCCCCCCTCCCCACCGTAGATCCGCCCGTGGCATGGATCTAGAGGGGTGGTCGTCAGGGGACGCTCGCCGCTTGTTAAAATTAAAAAAAATAAAAAACTTACTAAAATAAATACCTTTAGCCTATTAATAAATCAACTATATTAGAGCAATGTTGAATAAAATAAAATTTAAATACTGCATAGTAATAATCTTAAGAAATAAATTTTTTTTTTTGAGGGGGGGCGAAGTAGATGGCGTCACGGCCCGAGTGGCGCCTAATATCTAAGCCAGCACTGTATCTCATAATGAATAAAATAACTACTTATATAATTTTACAAACCGATACTGAAAAAATTAAGCAAATTATTAAAAATAACAACGGTACACTTTTGACTTGGCAGTTTCGAAAAATCAAAGCTTCTAATAAGGTATACCGCAATGAATTATGAAACAGTGAACTAACCGCAATGACCTGATACGGTTTCATTTTCTCTTGATAACTAGTTCGTGATATATCTCTGCCATCGTTGACAACATTCTCCTGTTTGGTCAATGTTTCGCAATAACCAGTAAATATTGTTCATGTTTGTTTATTTCAAAATACTCTTAATAAAGCAAAAAGACGTTTGTTTATACAAAAACCGTTTAAAAACGTGAACAGAATACGGTTTGATTTGTCCAACGGTGTCATATGCTTTAAACTTATATTACGTATGGCTGTTTTTTATACAAAAGATGATTGAACCTGCAACCAAGTGTATCTGATTAAATGAAAAAAATCTGAAATTTATGTAAGAATTCAAAAGAACAAAGGAGAAAAATATAATATATAACAGTATATTATTAAGTATTAATTATTTATTATTAAAGTATACTATAATAAAATAAGTTTATACTGTTTTCCACTGCAACTTGATCTAGAAAAACGAACATGTATTTGTTCGAGAAAGACTTGTCTTTCCTTAAGTCGACATGAAAATCAAGTTAAAAACTTGTCCATGCCCTATTTTTAATGACTTTAAAACATATTTACGGGAAGTTGTACGGAACACCAAGGGAACGTTTTTGCAATCTCAGAACCACTTTATCCATGGGTCGATAGAGACCATACTTTCTCTCTTTACCAGGTTATTTTCCTGAGTTATGCTAAGTGTGCCAGAAAATTCGAGGGCATATATGTGTGCACATATAATATAGGACATCGCCTGAGATATTCTGGAAAACTGTCACGAATGCATGAGAATCGGATTGATATGGCTGCCTATAAACTAGTTGCAGAAGGAAAGAGACTTCAGGGAAGACCCAGGAAGACTCGAGTTGAAAGGCTAAAAAATGCTTTTGAGAGACGAGGTTTGGAGTGGAAAAGAGGAAAAAGTTGGTTTCTGGATCCAACTGTATTGATAGATACCTCACACTACGCTGTGGTAAAAGAGGGAAAATCGAGAAGTATATATATATATATATATATATATATATATATATATATATATATATATATATAAGCATAATTATTTAGATTGGGAATTAGGTCACTGAAATACAATTAAAATAAACTAAAAATTGTTTCTGACGGTTTTTATGCTAACCATAGGATTCTTATAGAGTAGTTTAATATCTGTGCTAACCGAAAACGCACACACATGTATAGTCATAGAAAAAGATAAAATAGCTGGATAGACTAGAGAGTCCTAATAACCTTCCGTTCCATATAATAAATGACCAAAAATGAAATATTCGCGGATTTACCACTAATGATTTCAGTTAACATATTTTTACCGAGAAAAAGAAATCGGGAAACTAGTTCAATATCTACTTATACGCTCAGCTACTCGGCGGTAATAACTATCAAACAGACTTTGAATTAAAGTCCACTAGATGTTTGGAATCAACTTAAAGCTATAACTACGTCAAAAATGTAATATTTATTTACTTCGATATGTTTATTTCGGAATCCTTCTTAGGATAATTGGTCACACTTTGTATAGCCTTTAAATAAACAAAAAAGAAATAAAAATAATAGAAAACAAAGGGAACTTAGATAAATTTTTATTGCCTAATCAAGTTTTAAGGCTCAGCTAGGAGCACAATGAACAATGGGCACGAAGCAGAAGGTCAAGTCTACTGGTTGAAAGCTTATTGAGGATGCGAATTCGGCTTTTAGTTCCGCGATTCCTTCCATATTACAAAAATAAAGGGAAATGAAAATATATATATATACAGAGTAGTATACAAGAGACCACGTGGGAGGTCAAAACACAGATGGATAGAGAGGATAAACAAAGATACTATATATATATATATATATATATATATATATATATATTTTTTTTTTTTTTTCGATTGGCTTTACAGACCTTGTGGATCTTTGGCCGCCTTAAAGCCTGAAAGCAGTAGGCAGAGGTGGAGAAGGCTTTAAGGCGGCCAAAGATCCACAAGGTCTGTAAAGCCAATCGAAAAAAAAAGAAAGAAAGAAATATATATATATATATATATATATATATATATATAATAGAGAGAGAGAGAGAGAGCGTGGCACGCGTCCTGGATGTCCAGCACTGTTTGAGACCATGGAGGACTAGAGCATGGAGCGTTATAGGGATGTAAATTGAAAGTGATAATAAATAAATATGTGTGAAATCACATTTAATTATTATTATTTAATGGCCATATCTAGAGTATATATGTATGTATAGAACGGGGTAACTCAGTTAGTAAGGTAGTGTTGTTATGGTTATCTTTGGCTGGTAATTATTCATTCTAGTTCAGCCGTGGATCGAATCGGGGGTCGAGATAACCTTCTGGGGCAATACTCAGTCCCTATATAGTGGGTACCCTTAATTAATTAATTAAGGAAAAAATCTGGTGGTTGAACGTGATTCCTGCCAAATCATCTCCTTGCACAACCGTTGGCCTAGAAACAGTACTGAGGCCAAGACTGTTTTTTTTTTTTTTAAAGTGTAGAAACTGAGAGTACTCTCATCTGATTTTATATTAATGTTTTGGGTAGTTACCGATTTCAATGAAATTTTATTTGGTGATACTAGATTGAAAAATATAAGACCCGTGTCTTGCCAATGCTCCCTAAGAGCCGAGAAAAAAAAGTATTATTTTTTTATATTCTTGCTTTCTGACTTTGCTCTACGCGGATATCTAAGTTATTATATATCAACCGATCTGTTTTTTATGTAAATTATCTATTTATTTATTCTTCATAAAGTCGTAAAATCTAGATAGATAGAAATTATTTTTTTTGAGGGGGGGGGGTTCCTCATGCAAATAGAGCCTAGCTTGGGTATTGTAGAATAATATGGTTTTACAAGTTATATGTGTACCATTTAAAAATAAATAAAATTTACAATATTTTACCTTTAGAATGGGTTTTACAAAACATGAATAACAATAAAAATTAAAAACAAAAAACGACAAAAAACTCCATAATAATAGTTATATGAACCTGTTACTATAGTAGAAACAATAAAAAATAAAAATATTTATATATATAAACAAAATATTACTTTTACTGAATATAACATGGGCTATGATCAACAATTTTGTGTAGGCACTTTGTGTATTCCCATAACATAATAGTAAACTTTATTTAACTTATCTATACAATCTATATTCAATATGGTTTCGATGTTGTGGTTATCAGAAGATTCGTAAAATCTAAAAGTTATTAATATGGCTTTGAAGAGCAATAGTTTAGCTTCCCAACGGTTGTGGTAAAGTTTTCTTAGGAGAAAATCCTGAGCAGTTATGAATAATTTAGTAAACAGTATGAAAAATAGTCCTCCCATAAAATTAAGTACAAAAATTTATGTTTTCGATTTCAATATAAACTCATATTTAAGAGTTTAAGTGGAAGCTAAAAACGAATCTGAAAAATTTACTAAGCCAATTTTACTAGAAGCGTATATGGATTTTTGTAATTAATTATAAAAAATATATTTTATGTATATAAAACTATTTATTTCCTTAATATAATTCGTTAACATAACCATAAAACTACTTCCTTCAGCAAATCCTTCATCATTCGTGCTACAATTAATTCCTTCAATTAATCGACAAATGCCATTTGATTTGATTGTTTTTTGTATAAATGTAAACCATTATAAAATTCACTTGTTTTACTATGTATAATTGTATAATTACAGTTGCAATTAAATGCTAAATAAAAATTATCTTTTCGTATTATGTCAAGCCAGATTAATGAGCTTAATATGTTGAACTCTGTTATCTAGGGGGACTTTAGTCCCAGAATAAAATTATTTTTTCATTCATTCATCAAAAACAGTTTTATTGAAATCGGTGGCAATTAAAATTTAAATAAAGGTAGTCGATTCATCGCGATCTTCAATCACTTTAAGTACAGAGATCTTCCTCTTACCCAATAACGCTAATGGTTCAAATATATATTCATTGAATGTTCTTTTGAAATATTGAGGATAATGGATATATAAAAGTACAGGTGAAAGTTGACTCATAATAGAAGTAGATTAAGGTTGTTGCTGTTATTTAGGTAACGGTACCAAAAAACGGGATCATTGAAAATTCACATCATATTCAAATCATAGGAAAAATATGAATTTTGTATTCTTCTATAGTTATTTTTACTAAATTAAGCTAACATAAACTAGTGATATTTGAATAAATACATTTTTTAATATGATGTTAAAATGTCTTTAGTCGGACCATGAAAGATATTTAAAAATTAATAGACTTATTTCCCAAAAATAAATTATTAATCTATAACAAATATATGAAATCTATAGGCAATGAATGAATTTTAGTCACCACAATAAAGCCAATGTTCGTATTTTAGATGGTTAATATATTATTTCTATAAAATTTGAGAATTAACACGGGGTAAAAAATTCAATATAATTATAAAGCGTAGATAAATTTTTTAAAAACAAATAATAAAAACTTTCCTATAATTTTAAGCCACACATGCAGCAAGTATTGAAGATAACCATTTCAGTAGCTTAGTTAATAATAATAATTAATAGAAAAAAAATCATTTCTTATTAGAAATAATAACAATTGTAAATACGTTACGAAATTTTATGTATCATTATATAGATGCGAAATTTAACTGTGACAGGACATACAGTTGAAATTGCGGAAAGATACAGCAAAGAAATACTAACTGATGAATTAAGTCGTATTGCTCCCGAAAATATTTATAAAAACTCCGTAACACAATGATTAGAGCACATTCTACAGATCCGAATTCTTGCGAATCGAATTAAGTCGAATATTGAGCATGTTGATGTAAATGTAAACTCTTAAAAAAAAAAAAGAACAGTTTTACGGACGAAACATTTTAAAATTTGTTTTCAGCATCTTAAAAGACTAAATTTCAAGAAATAAATGTCTTTTATCCCAAACATATTTACTTACCTAAATTTGATCATAATTATTTCTAGCAATCACATAAATCATTCATAACTCCTGGAGAACTCAACCGATCAACGTAAAATTATACCAACGTTAAAATATACCAAATAAAACAAATTGGATTCAGTTAGATAAATTCGAATACGAGATATAACAAATATATATATTTACTGCCTTATAATTAAGCAAATATTTAATTTATTGTTACCCCACGAAAGAGAAAAAACTGATCTTTTCAACGGCATTTAAATAATTTAATTTGGTAAAAATCTGCCCGCTTGATGTGTGTTTATTTTATTTTTCAAACATATTTATTGAAATTTACAACTGTATTACATGAAAAATACAACTAGTAAATTTGAAATAAGTAACATGACATGTACAACATGAAGAGAAACTACCCATTGGTAGAACTCCAGTTATAGTTCTATATTAGAATCCAAGAGGATGCAAGTTAGAAACAAGAGGGTTCGGATGGTTCTGAAGTTTATTATGGAAAGATAGGTATCTGGATTGGGCCAAATCGGAAACATAAGGAACATTAAGGATGATTTTATTAGTGACGAAGTAAGAAGTATTGAGGATTTTACGATTGTAAGGATTGAATACAAGAGAAATTCGATGACTTAGTGGAGCCCTATCGCTCAACTCCGTATTCTCAAATATGTCTTATTGTAGCCACGTATATGAATCTTTTGAGATTAATTGGAAGCTTAGAGCTTTTTTTCAGTAAATATTGTAGTTTTCGGAAACGTCGAGCGGTTTCTTGTTTGTATGAGGATTCTCTGTCTTGTATGAGAATTCCAAGTTAGAAGTTTGTCCAAATGGAGTGCTAGGAATCGGATTTGCTCAACAGGGATAAGTGGGGTATTATTAAAGGATACTGTAAGATTGGAAATCGTAGGTTCACTACAAAGGGTAAAGTTAATTTGATGGGATTTTTTGGATTTTATTTTAATTCTTCAGTTTTGGTACCGTTATTAACTTAGAAGTAAATCGAAAAGTAGTTCTCTGAGTTTTGAGTATTGTGATCATTTTGCAAGACTTCTGAGATGATCATAACTCATAAGGACCATTTTTCACTGTGATGATAGAAATGAAATTGTTAGGTCTAAATATTTCTCAAATTGAAATTCAATCGATCTCTTCTAATTTGCTCAGTCCAACAACACCTACTTATCACGAAAACTACGTAACAATGCTTCGTTTATTTGACGAACTTCATTAATCATGCGACTTTAACTAACGTAAGTAATTTAGTAAATTATTTAGACTTTTTATTTTTCAATGTTGAACCCTAAAATATTCCTAATAATCGGAGAGTAATTGGACGGATGACTTTTGTTTCAGTTTTCTCGATCCTCCTAGAAAGCCTGTTATAGAACAGTATATCAAAGCACTTTACACCCCCAGAATAAAGTTTCTTGTAGTACAAAATGTTGAAATTTATAATAATGAGTTCAAGACACGGATGGGTAATCTAGAGAAAGACGTTGGAAGGTCTTTATGGAGACGGAGATGGGAAGATGATGCAGGGAACGTCGGAAATGAGGATTCGGACTGGGGATATGGATGATGACCACTGTTTGTAAAGGTGTTTAAGAGTTTTAACATAGTTATATAGCAAGATATTTTTGTATCTTTTCCAATTCGTTAAATTAATTAATCCTGGAGATTTCTTTCCTCCGCCATTTAAGAGGAAGAAAATAGTTGCTAATGGTGTTAAACTATTTTAAGTTCAGCAGCATTGGTCAGCACGGTATGGAATTTCTACAAACGGTACCAACTCAATGATTTATTTAAAAATTCACATAGTGACGAACACTTAACCCTGAATCTTTTTTGAGCGTTCAACCAGACAAATAAAACATATTTGTCTTTAAAATAGTTGAAACAATTGAATGATTAAATGCAAGATTGTTGTATCTATAACTAGTCAAACGTGAATGATTTTTTTCACAAGTGTAGTTATATAGTGATTAATTCGTAGGAGTAGTATTTTAGAATTCTCGATGAGAGAGATGGAAAACGTTAGAAATTACAATATAATCCCATACAATATACTCTATACTTCCTACAGTTCAAGTACATAGATCAGGCATAAACTTAGGAGTCCATTCATTTAATATTTTCATAAAATATTAAATTATATAAAATAAAATTACATTAAATGAATTCAATTTTTATAATTCAAATAAACCATGTGTTATCGTTAATTAATTATTTAATCCAAATATAGAACATTTCCACTAATATTCAAAATAATTGAAAAGTAATTGCATCTTTCTATCAACAAAACACCGAAAATACTGCTCATTGAAACAGATTATTAATTACACTTCTCGCCTTCGTAAGATATTGGAGATGGTAGATACAGTGCCGGCCTTAGACATTCGGTGGCCCCCTGGGCAATGACGTCATCTCTCCCCATCTTAAAAAAATTAAGTTTATTTTTTAAGCTGTTTTATACTATGTAAAATGGGAATTTTATTCCATTCAACATTTCTCTTCTATTTTTTTTTTTTTTTTGTTCTCCCCTTCCTCGCCTGTTAGGCTATTATACGGGGGGAGGGGTATCTGGACAAAAACTTGTTATTTTGTCTTTTGGTTTATTTGGAGATGTTTGTATCTTGGTGCTGTGCACACGCATAAGCCCGCTCGGCCACTCTGCCCCAATTCAACATTTCTCTAATACAGTTGCTTTGTTGATAAACTAAAATTAATTATTTTAATACGATTTTTATTTTTAACAAGCGGCGATCGCCACTGAAAATCAGCCGGAATTCCAAACGGCGCCCGGGGACAATTGCCCCGGTTGCCCCACCCTAAGGCAATGTGTAGACATTCGCACCTTACAGAAGTCGTTAGGACGTTTAAGACAGTCGGTAAACTTTAATGAGGTACTCACATTTGCTTTCCACTTGAATAGTAAGATAATATGATCGCAAAATCAAGAAAAATATATGGCTTTATAAAAATAACGGGCCGTTTAGTGGCCCTTCCCGCAATAGAGTAAAAATAACAAAGTTATGTTGTGTTTAGACGAAGGTAAACGGCCTAATAATTTTGTAGAATAATTTTTTTTTCTCGATTTTGTGATCAAATTATCTTACGATTAAGTGGAAAGCAAATTCAATCCATGAGTTTTAATACCCCGTTCAATTAATTAATTTAATCAGAAGAAGTCCATTTCTAAATAAAATTTATAATTTCGAGGAAAATAACTTTATTTAATCCTTACACCTCCATTCCATTCTCCAATTCATTTTATTTTTTTCGACGACGTTTAAGGCAATTGTGCACATTTTCAAGTCGAAATGTTTATCTATAATATTATAATACAATAATTACATATATATATATATAATATATATAATATATATATATATATATATATATATATATATATATCTGTAAAAGATATAACAGTACATATAATCAAGAACAATCAATGAAAATTCCAAAAAGTCAAATTAATGAATAAAAACTCTACTTAAATCATTATCCTGTCATCTATGTAATATTATTATTAATATAATTAATGTAAAAATTTTCTTTTTATTTTCGAAGGATTTGTGATCATCTTTAAAAATAAAAAAATTGTTTTAATATTACATATTAAAATTGCAGTATCAATATTACAGTTGCAAGGACATAAAAGAGTTAGAAGAGATGGTTTATATGATGCTTGTGGTCGTTTCATTGAAATTTTAAAATGTTATTTGGTACATAGTATTAATCTTTTTTTCATATTTATTTTTTACTTTTCTGAAAAATACCAGTTATATTTGAATTCATTCGTATTAAAAATGCTTGCATTTTGCATCGCTTACAGAAATCATTTACTATTTACAATAACACAAATTTTATTATTTCATGGAAGAACTGGTATTGAAAATTAACTCACGTGGAATTATTTTAGTTTTTTTGTTAAATTATTTCATTGATGTTTATTCAATTAAAACTTTGAAAAAAAAATTATGGTTGCATGGTTGTTCAAAAAAAAAAGAAAAATTGATATACAAATTAATTATTTTTTCATTCCAATTTTATGATTAATTTATTTCAGTTTGCATGTATGATTTATCCATTAACAAACTGCATGAATCCTTCCTGACCTTAGTTCTTGGACATAGCCCAAGTTTTTAGAATTTGGATCCTCATGTTTATTTTATTTATTTACCTTTTGGTTACTTCATATTGTGAATTTAATATTAGCAGTTAATACTCGTCAATGATTAATTAAATATTGGTGAATTTTATTTTAACGACTTAATTTCGAAGTTAATTATTAACTTCTGCTATGATTTTAACAAACCTCATGATGTATCTTCTCCTCACATTCTTCTAATATTAATTTCGTAACCTATTTATGAAAAATCAATTCTAAAAATGAAAATAAAAATACTGAACATACAGGAAGTCTCAAATAAGAAAAGGGCAAAAAAAAAAAAATTTTCAACAATTTAACATACCCTTTTATAAATTTCCTTTGGACCGTCCCATTTCTGAAAAGTTTCGTAGGTATGAAAGTTATTAGATAAATCTACAATTAATAGGCGCTGTACTAATAATTACTAGTACTGTTATAATAGACAGTTTTCATTCAGTAATAGATAATCGGTTATATACGCCCAAAAGAGAATGAAAATATGAGTAGATTTGCAGTTAAAGCACTTGAGAGAGTTTAGCCTATAAACCTCGAGTGATAACACGCAACAATAGCCGATTGACAGTTGATTTATGAATGAAGAAAGGCTGGGTGTTTGTTTCATGGAGGTTTCTTATCGCTTTTGTTTAGAAGATAAGTTTGAAATTTTTAATCATTTTTGTTCATTTAGCGATTTCTTACTTTAAAACAGGACATAAATTATTTTGGATATGTTTAATTATTTAAAAGATCTGTTTAAAAAATGAGTGTCTATTACCAGTGCAAAAGGTGCTCTCAGAATTTACCAAGTTCTTAATGAATAATTAAGTAATTGACTGTATAGAGAAAAAAAAACCGATAAGACTACATTTGCTGTCAATTGAACCCATTTGCAAAGATACACCGTCAAAAGTTAAGCTGCGGTTCATATTAATGTAAACAATTTCTCTTAGAGTGTCTATTACCAGTAAATTTACCTTATGTTGCGATTTACGAAGTTTTAGACGAATTTTAATAATTTGATAAAAAGGGCTCTGTACTATACTGTGGGCTATTATTGGGTGATAAATATTCAGGAGGCAGTCTTTTTTTTTTTTTTTTTTTAACTTTTTTAACTTTTTTATTTATGCTAACGTTTCAACCCAAACATGTGGGTCATCTTCAGGGTGTAGTTTGAGCACTGAAGATGACCCACATGTTTAGGTTGAAACCTTAGCATAAATAAAAAATAAAAGTTTTTTTTTTTAAAAAACGACGGCGTCCTGAAAATTTATCTCCCATGATATGTAGAACAGTAGACCAACTTCCTTCAATAATTCAGTGGGCTATTATTGTTTTGTTTTTTTAGTCAAGCTAATATTTGACGTATAATATAATGTATTAACCGATCAAAGACAAAATTTTCTGTCAATTGAACCCATTTGAAAATTATATTTATTTATTTTTACTTTGTATTTTGGCTCAACACACCAACAAACTTCTCTCCTATTATTTATTTACAGCCAACCATCAATCCGCTATTATAATGTGTTAATCAGATGGATTCTAGAATAATGCCGTTGGGTTCAATCAAGTTTAATAAATCTTATTGCAACAAACCAAGATTTCGAAAAAAAAAAAAATTGTCGATTTAGGAAAACAAATATAAAAATCCGATGTGTCCACTCACACTACTTTCCTACCTATTTCAGAAAAGTATTTATGTCTTTACATATGTTCATCAAGAAACCAAAAAAAAAATTGAATTTGATTTATTCTCCTAAAAATTGATCCAAGAAAATATTTGAGTACGATTTATTTGATAAATTAAAGCAATGTAAACAGGCTTAAGGTACATCAGTTTAAAAATTTCAGAACCCTCAAATATTGCTGATCAAAAACTTTTTGTCATAGTCTAATTTTGTCAAACAATAATTTCTGTTAAAATTAGAGGAAATAGTAAAGCTTGTGCGATGCGCCCCTTTCTGACACCAGAATATGAACGAGTAATCTTACATTGGAAATTAAATAGCCGTAACTTCGTTGATAATTGTCCAAAATGAACAATTTTTATATAGTTTTATATAGCTCTGAAACGTATAGATCCGTCGAAAACCGCATATCCGAAATTTGACCCGATCGCAATACTTTCCTTACCTAGTATAGGTAGGAAAGTAATAAATTAAAAAATGTGTAGAAAATAGAATAAGCTGTAAGATCGCTAATGCTTGTTCGATTCCGATGATTTTTTTTTTCTTTGTTGGTAATTGAATTACCTTTCAAAAGTTTCATTATAAATTTTACCATATAATATATACTTAGCAAGACACCAAAATTTTGTCTTTTCTTTATAACTTTTTTTTCTGAATTTTCTTGGGAATTTAGTCCATATAGGAAAAATTAAATGACAATTATTAGAACATTATAGAAAACTTTCATCAAAATCG